GATGGATGGCTATATTCACGTTTATAGGCTCCAAACTACTAATATCTACTAGGGAAGATAATACCTAATCTATCTAATTAAAAAAAAACTAATATGTAATTTGATAGAAAAATTGAGATTTAATTTAACAGAGACAAAAAAATAAACACCATAGTTTTTTTTTTCAAGATGAAAACGAAAATATCATGAGTGTAATTTAAACTACTTTAAAGGTTTAATCTATGATGATCTAATCTATGATGATTTCAATAATTTTTTTATAATTTCTGTTAGTTTACGGTAGTTAGCACGAAATTAAAATGTCGACAAATAACGACATAATCTAAACTATACAACGTTTAAAACGTCGTCAATAATAAAATTAAAATAATAAACACGCGATTAAATATTCTAGTTTTTTTATGACAAAAACTGAAGAAAATCTTATTTCATTAGTGATTAGATGTCGTGAAATAATATATTTTCAAGCGAGTTCAGAAGCCACGCATTCCGACTATTTTCAAATAGTCAGAATACCTAAAGTAGGCTAAAAAATTTACGCTTAAATTGTTATGATAGAAAAACTAAACTTAATTGTTTATGATTCATGTTTTTATTCGCTAAAGTTGTACAAGGAAAAAATATACTTATTACGAGTATAATCGTTATATTTTTATTATTTTGGATGAGTTTTGATAATACCGATACAGGACAAATAAATAAAATTAGTCTTGAATTTTTTTTAATAAACCAATCACAATTATTGATAATTGAATAGAATTTCAGATCAGACGGTTGCTAAGTCCACTGATTCCACTGTTGGATAAACAACGTGCACACAGATTTTTTAATCCAAAAATTATGTTAAAGGTTTTTCAATGGTGAATGCAGTCTTATACTGCATCATCTGGTCCACGTCTCTCCGCCTCTGTTCAGGATGTGCCAATCCGGACCGACTCCGCCTATCGATCCGGGACGCAGGTGTGCCCGGGTAATTGACGCCCGGCCGGGATAGCCCGAATCGTAATGTTACTTTTGTTTTATAGCAGCTTTTTGGGTGGATCATCAATTTTAAATAATCATTACTTTAAGAAATATGATTTATTTATCTATCTCAAGCTTTGGCAGCAAGCTTACGGTTCAACTGGTTATAACTGGTGTATGTATTTTTGTCATTTAAAAATTCTCGTCATTATTATTTTTGTAGTACTTAGTAAACACAAAGGCTAGTCTGTTTGCCAAATTATCAATGCTAATCATTCATCACTGACATCTTAAGATGTCGATGTATGTATTACGTTTTTCTCTTTTGTTTTGCTATAGATGTTCGAAAAAGATGTATATAGAGAACACTACTAAATACTACATAGCTAATGAACATAATAAGAGAGATTCGGTTGATAAACAAACGAAAAAATTGTATATAACTATAAATAAATGTTTTGTCTATGTTATTATAAATTAATACAAAGATAATGCTGCAAACTGCTCTAACACGGCCTAACTATTTCTGTCACGAAGGAATCATGCCTTCCTCTTTGAAGGAATAAAATACCCGCTATTGCCAATGCGAACTTATGTCTCAATTTTGGTAGGGTTCAAGCTCCAGCACCAAATTAAAATCTTATCAGAGTTAAGTGTGTGTGAGTTGCCGCTTTTGCTACTACTTCTACCCAAGAAGGCAAGGTCTATTAAGTCTATTATCCTAAATAACACTTTAATATTCAATCCCCCTTCATTCATCTTCAGCAGCATTCACGCCTAATTCAGCTACGAAAAAATTATGAGTTGGTTCGAGTTGAATCCACAATTGTACAATAGCTGTTATATATCTATTCTACCGTATGGCGTGGGCCGCACTGCTTCACATCACGTGGACCGGGAGATCGTTTAGCCATCAAAGTTTATAAAATAAATCCAGCTTATGGATACTGGATAATTTTTTTACGATGACTTGCAAAAAAATGATATAAACATTAATATGTTATCTCTCTTTTCATACACGTGTGTACTGATTACTATAAAATATACCAGAAACAAATTGCTACATGTATAATGGTTCCATCGATTACGCTGATTTCTTTTTCGTCGTAGTCTGAGTTGTCTAGCCAAGGTTTTCTATGAATATATTTTTTTTTTCTATGAAAAATTTTGAATGTGTGATTTGTGTGATTGATAAGCTCTTTAAAAGAATATAGTTAGTAAGTTTGTATACTTATGAGAATTTTAGAGAAGGTTTTTATCATAGTACCATCCTTAAAATATTTGAAGTCTTCCGTCGATTTTTTTCAACATCCGTATGTTTTACCAAAATCCGAACTTGGACGCTTGAGCATTTACAATTTATTTTTATTTAAAACGACTCAATATAAAATAAAATAAAAGGAATTGAACGCGGTCTAAAAATTGTCATTCTGTTTTGAACACGATAATTTGAGAAACTTTTTTCCTGAACTTGAGTTTCGAATAAAACTCTAGCAATATGACTACGGAAGTTTTTCTTCAGGTGTTAGATAAAATAAAGTTTCTTTATTGTTAGTCGAGTAGTCTAGTGAGACAGCTTTAGATGCTTTGCTACTATTTAAATTGCGAAATGGACCTTCGGCTTTAGCTTTTCGTGCAGAACTTTATAAAGTTTCGTGATAGTAAGTTAAAATTGCTTAACGGAATAGATTCAATTTTATTTAATTTTATCAATTTTATAATGTCCGATGTTTCAAATTTCAACACGGTTTTGTATATGATAAGTGAAAATCTAGGTGTTTCTCCTCTGAGACTCTGTTGTATTTATAACATATTTTATTACAGATCGCAGGGTTTGGATGGTTGCCGCTATGTTCTCAATATTGCTTAAGTTTGTACATTGTTAAAGCTGTATTCACGAGTGTTGAAGTTGATATGCTTGGCAATATCAATTGGCTTGGCAATTTTAAACTATACGATATGAAAATCCAAAATGAAAAATTCTACTAAGTACATAGTTTGTAAATATCTGACAGTTTACAAAATAAAACCGATGCATGTAATAAATTACAGTATCTCGATATCGGTTTTAAAATACCTCATTTACATAACGCAATCGCTAGACGATACGTTTCTAAATTGATTTACTCGATCACAAAATGGTATAATTTATGCAAAGAATCATGTACCGCTCGGAGACATCCTCGCTATTCTGTATTAATACCGTAATAAACAGTTATACGTAACAAATATAACGGACAACATTCACTAAGGTCACGGCAAACGCTAATTTTCTTTACAGCGACATCGCAAAAGAACACGCGATATAAATGAAGCTATAATATTGTTTCTGTTTCAATATTTGTGTATATTTCAGCAATTGTAAGCCCTGTTTCGTCTATTTACCAATGTTCGTCATTTTCAAGTACTACGTTTAGTAACTAGTTTGCCTAGTTGTTATAGTTCAGTTGTGATTTCAATTTTGCTCTAGGTTCAATTTTAACGCAGACCCCAATTGTTTTTGAAACTTTGTTTTCAGAAGATTTTTTTCTGTCAGTCAAAGGCTATTGGGTTAAAATTTAATGAGACTTCTAAGAACTGTAACAAACAGAAGACTGACAGAGGTCAGATACAGTGTCTGACACACAAATAACGAGTTCTCGGGTTTCCTAATGTCCATATTTCGGGATATCTTCATTCCAGCATACCAGAAAGATTTACCTAAGATAACAGATAGATATACAGACATCTAAGTATCTAAAGGAAGCGTCAGAACGCTATTTTGAAAGTTAGTACTGTTATCTTTGCCGGCGCTATTTACATATCCGTCTCAGGCGATGGAGTATCGCAAGCCGCCGTTGCCCGATACATGTCTTGTCGGATCCCCCGGATCCACTCTCGGTGCTTATGTTGTTCGTTGAGCCCGTGAGCATAGCAGCCGTCCGCGCGTAGATGGAATATCCCCATTGGGCTACCAGTTAACAGATAAAGGGAAAAATCAGAAAGAGCCTTCATATATACATATATCTTTTGCGTAGATGCCTGAACAAGTAAAATGGCATCATAACGTGAATACTACCCACCTTTACACTTGATATCTTATTCTCAATTACATTGTATAACAGATGTCCCAGACTTTAAACCGGACGCATATGTAACTACGGAACAGAATGGTTGTATCTACCGATGCCGGGATACAATACACCCTATTAGAGAAAGTACGAGACTTGAAGAACACTGCAGTTCATTTTTTTATAAATTCCTTAGTTACCTTTTACCACACTCTCGATGGCACTATTCTAGGCCTCAAAGCAATTTTGTTTTCACAGATTGTTTATAAATTTTGATATCCTACTAGTCAAACTCGGCTCGCTTTGCTGGCCAATTTTTGATTTCACTTTGATCCTATTACTACCAAGCTACACAGGATCACCCACTGGGTCAATCTGAAGATTTTCTGAAAGTTTCCTTGAAATCGGTCTAGCCGTTTTGGAGTCCATCGAGAACACACATACGCACATCGACTTTTATAGATTTAGCGTATACTTGAATACCATACTTAAGTAAGATCGCGTTAGGTATCAAATTAGGTTGCTGTTGCACATTCCCCAGATGTATTATGTTGGAATTATTAAATAAAAAAAAAAAAGTTACATCCAAAGAAGGGCGACTGCTTAAAAATCGAATAAAACACGATTTTTAAGAAATTCATTCCAAGTTACGAAAATTTGTTTTGATTTGTGACTTACACTCATTTCATGTGCCCTTAGATCCTGTCAGGATGTAGGGGAATCAAACCGTAACTATAGCAACTATTTAGTTGGGCCAATAGAGTTTTCCTCTATAACTTTTCAGTTTTCCTGTAATGCGGCCTTTTTTGTTAAAATATAATATAATAACCAATACTGTTGTGACATCGTTTTGACAAATGAATTTCTGAAGTACATACTCGTGTATTGCAAACAATACTGTTAGTTTGGATTCATTCTCAATTATATGTGTTTCGTTCTCATAAATTTCGTATTTCGTTGATAATTGACTCGGTGTTTGATGGCGAAATGGCTTTCAATTTCGACAGCGGACAGGTATGTATCAATTTCATAACAAAACTTACTATTTTTAGAGTTCAATATTGGTATTTTCGTTTAAATGAAGTGTTTAGTGGTAGTCTTTCTTCTAATGTATCTTAAGGTAAGGAAAGAGAATACTCATTGGAAAAAAATGTTTTAAGTAACAAACTAAGCTGTATGTTAACTGAAAAAAAATAAAAACGCTAAGCATAAATGAAAAAAACTTTTTTAACACAAATTGTGTAGTTCCTTAAACATAGTTGAAAATTTTAATGGCAGCTAGGCAAGAAAAGGATATTATTTAAAGAATGTTGAACGATAGTTGATTTTTTATCGTCTTCAAATACCTAAATCAATAGAAATCTAAATCTGAAACACTAGAATTAGTTTCTCGAAATGTTAGAATTTATTTTATTTTATTCATTCATTTAGAAAAAATATGCGCATACACCCCCATCGTTATTATTCTTTTTATGTCACAGTATATTAGAGATTTATTCTATTTTTACTTACCACTACGGATGCACTTCATGATTTATTCTTAAAATTATTTTATTATTATAATCATTTACTGTTCTATAATATATTTGAATTAAGTCCACAGTTTTACTACAAATTTCCTCCAGTGCACCTGCACCATCAGTAGCCCCTTCTGAATATGCCCATAAAACAGTTTTTTATTTGCGCGCAAATTGTAATTCCTTTAATCCAACTTAGATACATCCAATTACATCGCAAACAATCGTAGTAGTCAAGCTTTTACGCTATTATCAATCTTATATCGAAGCAGATGTGTTTTACTTTAGTTCGTGCTTGACGCCATTGAGTTTGGGTCATTCCGAAGGGTGTTTTTTACTAGGAAGGAATGGCTATTTTTCATGGTTCATGTGTAATGTTAATCCGTGTTTGACACTCCTAGCTTGGTGTTTTGTTAAATGTTATCGTATATTTACGATAAATTGTTTTTTTACTATTGTTGTTTAGATTTTAACGTTAAATAAAGTACTGGATTATGCCGAAAAATTGTACTAGAGATTATGCATCTGTTCGCATTAGGTACTTATCTTTTGCAATTACAACTTTGATAAACTATTAAACTTACCATTTATTTTAAGTCTTGTATATCTTATAAAGTCCATCTAAAGAATTAACCCATAGTGTGGGTCAGCAGTGACCATCATCCAAATTGTAGATACTAGGTTATAATGAAGAAAGCTTAGTAAGGAAGTAAAAGTTGGTTATGATTAAGCCAATTTTATATACTATTATTCTAGTAGTGATTGTAATGAGGATTTTTGCAAAGGTTCTGAAGAATAGAAATTTTGCAAAAGCCATGTAAAAGTGTTTACTTTTATGAATGTTCTCAACGTTCATAAACGTTATGCTGCGTATTTTTGCCTTTTGCAGCAAAACTGTCGTGCGTTCGAGTTTAAGCTTTAGGGAAATTATTTAATTAGGGAAGGCGGGCAGCGACATTGATGTGGTGTCTGCCTAACTCCACGCACAATTGCTTCAATAAAAATACTAGAGATAGGTGTACCAAAACAAAATACAAACGTATTTATTGCAAAAATGAATCCAATATTGTTGACTCAAAAGAAAATAGATGAATCGTAAAAAAAAGTACTGTCCTTTGTAAATATAAATATAAACATTTACTAACAATCACGCCACGTTAACTGGTCCCGTGCTAAGTTCGTAAAGAACTTGTATTACAAGTACCAGATAACGGAAATAAATATAATATTTTTATTATACACATACATATAATTAATATACACCCATAACCCTGGAAAGACATTTATATTTATCATACAAATATCTTCCCTTGGCGGGATTCGAACCCGTGACCATGTCACTTACCACTACACCAGACGGCCGTTTGTGTGTTTATTTTACGAATCTTCAAGAAGTTGATATCGTGTTTAATCGGAAACTTAAACAGCCGCTTGACTCTGCCCCTGGCATTGCTGAAGTCCATGGGCGACGGTAACCACTCACCATCAGGTGGGCCGTATGTTCGTCTGCCTAAAAGGGCAATAAAAAAAATATATGTAATTCATTTAATTCATTAGGGGTACTCTTTGGTATAGACAACTCGGGTATTTTTTTTATATTTGGGAGCCGTGACGCACGATAGCTTTAAGAAATGAATAGGTGTTACATTGAAAGCTTATTACATATGAGCGAAAATGGATGTTATAAAAAGCGTTATTGTTGTCTATATTTAGCATTTGTGAAGATGTATTATTACGTAAATCGACATTGAAACGGTTTACCAAGTGACAAATGCTTGATTTTTTTTTAATTCATTGACGTTCTATTTAAGGGGTCGATCGAGTTCAGGGACGGAGCAAATTCATTTGTGTTGCTAACGATGTTTAGGCGCGGCTGTAATTGCTAAAGGTCTTTGACGTCATTACGTATTCGATTTGTTGCCGGTTACGAATTAGTTGTGTTAGTATGTTTTTTTTTTTATGTTTGAAGGATTACTGGTGGCCCGGAGGCCTTTCCAGTTTCACCAGGACAGGTGGGCGAGCAAAGGCTCAGCCAGGAGGGGTGGGATTTGCTAACAGCTACCCGAGCGCCTCCGAAGGAGACCTAACAGCTCAAGAGCAGCTGCTTCGCGAATGAATCTATTACCGGATCGGAATCGCGACCCGCTGAGAAGATCCGGCGAGAAACTCAGCGAGCTGATTCATGGGTTAGGTTGCACGGCGAACTCTTTGTAGAGCTCGACGAGTACGGTTACCGGGGTCCCTAAGCCTGCTCCTAGTGTTAGAGCTGAAGGCGTCTAATGCAAAGGTTATTGGATCTGATGGATCCGTAAGGACGTGTCTAGGGCGTCGACGGTGACTGGCTCCTGCGTGATCAGGATTCGGAGAGTAGTCAGCGGCGGCAACGATAAGGCGATTATCATGACGCATAGCCTTATTGTTAGTATGTAGCGACTGTAGCTGTAGTATGTAGCGACAACAATGAAACAAAGGTAACGCATTGAATAATTGAGGCCGTCATCGCAAAAGTGGCCTAAGCTTACTATAGTTAGTATGGAGATAATGAGGTTCGAATTTACCTTTACACAATACCTCGTAGGCAAAAAAATACACGCTAAAATGATGTTTACAAAGTCATCTGTTATCTATGGATGAAACTAGATATAGGCCGATTTTGTATCAAAATTTATTATGTTTTAAATAAATTGCAATACATAAGCACGAATATTAATAGTGGACTCAATTAGAGTAATTTATTTAATCTACTTCGTGGTTTCTATATAGTATATCGTTTTACTGTCGTACGATCAAATATTGGGAAACATCAGTTTTCAGTTAGATTACTAATCAAACCATAATTTTGATAAAAATATTGTTATATTATAAAGTTCATGTTATCGATTTTATTGTACGTGGTTAACGTTGTGTTTGTATTTTGGTAATGCTACCCACCACTAAATAAATACTCTTTGTAGACTTTGTTCGAAAAAACTTAGAAGTTTTTTCGAACGATAAAATTCTAGGTAAGTTCGTTCCAGAGCTTAATCTTGATTGAATCCAATAAAAGTAACTTTTAGGGTTACACCGGAGGAGAGCACAGTTACTAAGGGAATGATAAAAGTGGGAGGATTTTGCTCTTGTGGTGGGTGAAATATGCAGTGTATACACAGTGCACTGATTTACTTTAAACCTAACGATTACTAAATATAGCGAAATATATATTTGTCGTAAGCACCATATCTACGTGAGGCTGAAGCTGTGCTTTATAGTGCAAAATCTAGTTTTTTCTCTTTTGTCGTTTTTATTCAGTTGTGAAAAATTGCTTCGCAGTTTTGTGAACATGTAATTAATAATATATAATAACGAAACTTTATGTAATAATAGAAACTAGAAGTCCCGCAGTAGTCGAAATTCGACTATAATTAATTGGAATTGTAAGTTTGTACACTATTATGATTGTATTTTATACTTCTACACTATAAAAAAATATTAATAAAGACAAACAATGTTTAATCTATTCTTAATTTGACCACAGACGTCAAGAACAAAAATTTGACAATAAATCATCAATAAATAGTATGCATCCGTGTGTGCATCAAATACATGGTATGTAGTGTGTGTAATGTTTTCTTTATTGATTTAATGTATCTTTTATGCATTAGTTTAAAAAAATATTAGCATTGTGCACTTCTTTTCTATATTCTCTATAAGTGTGGAAAATTTCATACTCCTCCGTCCGCGCAATTTTCGTAAAAAGGCATACAAAGTTTTTGCTTCACGTATTAATATATAGATTAAGCCAATAAAATAATGTGATCGTCGATTAGTTTGTAATGTTTGAAGGTAAACTTTGCAAACGAAATGATTTATGACTTCTTAATTGCAGTTGTCTTTCGAATATAGTAACGGATACATTAATGTATTACTAATGGTTTTTCGTTCTATATTTGTGGAGTCAAGTATACCTACGTTTGAACAAGATGATACTGTTTGCAGTAATTATCATCGACTCATAAATAAGAGAAGCGGTCAAGCCATTTATTTCTGTATTTAAAGATTGCCAAGATTGCCATGATTGCCTTTTTTTTTCTTTTTTTTTTCCTACCTAGCTGAGAGCCTTGAGAGGCTATTTCAGCGTAACCTTAACTAGTAGGTGAGCTCACGGGGCTCAACCCTGACGACGTTGCTAACACGAACCCTAGCAAGAGCCGTGCTTCGCAGAATCTACCACCGGATCGGAAACGCGACCCACTGAGAAGATCCGGCGAGAAACTCAGTGGGCTGTGTCTGAGAGTTAATTTACTCGTCGATCCCTTCGTCGCAAGCGACGGGTTCGACGAGAACGATGGCCGGTGCTTGAGAAACCTAAAAGCACACCACCACTTGAGCCCCGTGAGCTCACCTACACGTCAAGGCGAAGCTGAAATAGCCTCTCAAGGCTATCAGCACAGGTAGAAAAAAAATGAATATAGTTAAACATAATATACCTAAGTATGTTTATCAGTCTTTGGTACCTATAGCATAGGGGATCCTAAATTGGGACTGGATGACCATGCGCGTTTTGTTCCCAGTTATTATCATTACTACTACTAATAAGTGAATTAATAAATAGGTTGAGAAATTAAAATTTTTAATAGGTTTTTTTCATCCTGTCTCATTTAACGCTGATATCAAAACTGCTTTGGAACTTTTACAATGCAATGACAAGATGATTCTAAATTATTGCGGGTATTTATAATTTAGTCAAATGGACGCGTGATGTATGGGGTAAATAACAATTTGCAACCCTTTGTTAAAACGAGGGATGATTATAACGCCCAACTCAATAGGGGCTGGAGTGACACCTGATCAATGGGTAGGACTATTGTCATGAGTTTTTTGTAACAAATTGTACCAGAAATTAAATTTGAGACACTTGAGAAAATTTTAGACATCGAATGATTTGATCGTCAACATGTTAGTAAATTCGGTTCGATTTGAGAGATATGATAATCGTAAAATACTTATTAATCTATCATATCTATCATGCAAGTATGTATACAATTAATTGTGGCCATAATAGTGTAACTACTGTTATATTTTCGAAAGTTAAAACTTATATATTGTTTTATGTAAAGCATGCTTGTATGTATTTAATTTGTTATTTTATTAAGTTAGAAAATAGTATAACGGCCTTTATTATATACGCAAAGGAACGGCGGCTTGTTTATCCCTGGTATTGTTGAAGTATATGAGCGACGGTAACCAATCACCATCAGAATGATGAACTGTAAACTCGTTTGCCTATAAGGTCAATAAAAAGCGTTACGACTCGCGAAACTGAGGTTTTCGCGAGTAACCTACAGTATATACAGAACTAATCTACATGAGTGTTGTTTAACATCTCTAAAATTTCACTAAAATATTTTATACATAGTAGCTGAGTGTGCGACTTTGTCTTCATAGGGAAATTCATTTTTATATTAAACCGTGTAACATAATTACAGCGCGATTCAGAAAACTTACAACGCTGTTTATCGAGTATTGATAAACCAGGATATAAACTGGAATAATTGTATATCAAATGAATATATTTTATGTTAAATGAAGATATCATGATATATTTTTTCAGATAAGGAGCGAGTTTTTAGTAAATAAAACATTATTAAATGTAACTTTTTTTTGTGTGAAGCTCGCACTACAGACCTCCATAATTATATTTATGCAGATACAAAGTGAGTGTACGACATTAGTTTTTGATAATTCATGCCGAACCGATACGAATAACAAACGTATAAAAGCGTTATAGTTTTTCTGGGCTACGGTCACGTGTCAAATTACCGATTGGTAATCGAACTTGTTTAGGTACTAGGGCCATTTAACAATATGTAAAATGATACAGGTATAAATCGTGATTATTCCTATATTAGATAATAACGGAAATTAGATATTAAATAAGTGTTTAGAATATTACATTTTTTTATGATAAGGGGTTTTCATAGGTACTTTATGTTACAAAACGATTTCGTGTGTCGTTTTTTTCTCAAGCAAATAATCTTCAACTGATTTTTATTTATTTATTACGGTAAGCCTCTCTCGTGTATACCTACTAACCGTTAGGCTTTCCCTTAAATCCGATCTTCGTCATAAAAAAACTATAATATTTATAATTATAACATATCATCAGCTATTTAAAAAACTAAAATTAAACCTCGAATGTAAATTATTAATGAATGAATATGAAAATCTCAAATAATTCATTGAGTAGTTGCGTGTCTTGTTGCTGTTGTACATAATTTTAAAATATTCTCTTTTGAACACGTGTCACTTCTAAAAGCGTGCGCCGCCGCGCCGCCTTCACAAAGTAATCAAGATATGTGGTTGTTCAATTTTAACCATTGAAATTGGCGGTTGATATAGTTCTATGGAACGATGAGCTTTTAAGGAAACTTAGTATGTACATAGATTTCGCACATCTTATGGACAGATCCAGATTTGAAACTGAGAATATTGGACTAGAGAGGACTTAATATGATAAGTTTAAAAAAATGAACATTTTGTTCAAAGTGTATTCACTACATCACGAGGGCTGAATGTTGACAGCCATTCAATAACAAAGTTACATCCTCTACAATTGTATTTAAACAGATTGCACATTTACCTGCCGGTCAACGAACACAAAATAAAGAAGAAAAGAAGAAAACTTTAAAATATTTTTAGAAACAAACAAAACAAATATTACAGTAGTAGGTAACGAGGGAGATCTGTAGGAAAGGATATTATTCTATCCCAGATTTAAAAATATCTCTGACAGTCTACAATAAATTTTAATGTTTATATTCGTAGTTTAACAAAGAGTCGACACCAAAACGGCTTGGGAACTGGGAGGTACCACGTTGGGCACCATCGCGCGCTCGACCTTTAGAGATGCGGGCGAACCCGAAACCCATCTGTGACATCAACGGCCGCTTTCTGCCCGGTGCTCCTAGAGGCACGTCTAGATGCTTCGGGCATTTTACGGGTACATGGGATTTGCCAAGGAAGATTACCAGGAAAGTGGGTTAGTTAAATAGTATTCGTAAATGAGAAGTGTGGCGGGTAGCCATCATACAACACAAGATATTTGAAAGTGCGAATTGTCGAATTGCCTGATGTTATACCTGATGCTATAAAAAAAGACAAATTATTTTTATTTAAAAATAACTTGAAAGAATTATTAATCTTAAGATGTTATTATACAGTTAACGATTTTTTAAATGATAAATCATTATGCTAATTTTAAATTCGCTTCTTTCTGTTCTTTATTTTCTTTTTTGATATAAATAACTAATTCTTATTCAATTAATTTGTTTTATTGTTTGATATTTTAATTAATTAATAAATTTATATATTTACTGACTGCATTTAATGTAAATAATTTTGAATAATATTTGCACGCAGACCTGGTAGAAACACGCTTTTCTATAAAATAACTATCAACAACTTTGTAAACCGTGTTTTAGCTAATAAAGTTTGATTTGATTTCATTTGATTTTATTTGATTTGTCATTCTAATTATATGAACCACAACGCGGGCTCATTAAATCAAAATGGCGGGACTTTAACGCCAACGCGACAAACCTTGCTGGCTTCGTCCTTTTTGCCGCTATTCTAAGTCATCACGATGTATCACGTCAGGGTCACTAGTTTGTAGGTATACGACAAAGGGAAGATCTTCCACCGAGCGGTTGGGGTGATATTGCTCGGTACCCGCAATATCACCAAGCTGATCTTGAAAATGTCGTAAGCCTGATTCAGGCATCTGTCAAATATCTTGTGTTATATGATGGCTACCCGCCACAGAAGTATCATAAATCTAGATTAGACTGTAAGAGTGCCTAGTGCATTTATCGGCATTCATTACTTGTAATTACTCCAATTATACGTTAAAATAATATATCGTTTTCAAATTTTCTGCAAACTTGGTGCAGTACTAATAAACTCAACCAACAAAACAAAATTCCCAATAATAAGTCATTTTTCAGTTCGGCACGCATGTGAAGGTTACGTGACCTTATTGTGAACTATGATTGTCTTTCGAATCGGAACTTTGACAAATTATAACAGTTGTCTGTCCTTGGTGGCAGCTATATAACTCGGCCCTTTATTTGTCAACATACTCGCAAAACACTTCTTGATTCTCATAAAATCGTGTCACGTAATAGTTGAGTATCTCCCGTCTTTGTATTCGGTTTGGGTCGGGCATTCGATTGCACAAAATCGGAAGTTATAAATCGATGACCTATTAATACTTTGCACGCAACTCTGCCCTTGTTTTGAGCCTGCATTGATTTTATGATAAATAAATTTGCGTCTTTACAGCTGAGGAGTTAGCGAAAGAGCCGCCGGATGGGCGTTTCTCGGATTGGTTAAATCCTCGTGTACAAAGACCGAAGGCTGCTGCGACGGCAACGGGGCGCTTGCGCGGTGGGAAACGCGCCAAAGGAAAGGAGGATGTTAAAGAAAATGGAAACACACAGACATTTGTAGTGAGTGTTTAAGGCTGCACGCCGACCTTTCAAAGAAATTTGCGCGCGCGAAATTTTGTTTGTTTCGTAGATTTAACTGTTTTAGAGAGAGGAATTATGTTGACGCCTTGAAACTTTTAAGTATGTTAGTTTTGCGGAATTTGTCATTTTTAGCACTTTAGATATTTTATGTAGTTGTGTTTAATGGCCTTTGTTTTTGCAATACTTATTTTTTTTTACAGCAGACGTAATCTCAGTTGATAAATTTTTATTAGTATTAAGTATATAAATAATTATTTTTAGTCATAGCTTTTTATACGTAAAACAGAACTATGTAGTTAATTTAAATTTTATAAACAATTTATGTTGGTCGTAGTATCAAAAGAAACTAACTGCACAGCGTAGGCAATCATTTTCGATAGTCTTGATTAGATTATCATCCAATACTAAGAAGTACCTATTATGTATTTTGAAGTCGTCGTGGCCTAAAGGATAAGACGAAGGAATAACATCGTGTAATAAAAATCAAAGCCGCAAAATTATAATTTGCGTAATTACTGGTGGTAGAAGACCGCAAGGGTAGATAGCACCACCCTGCCTATTTCTGCCGTGAAGCAGAAATGCGTTTCTGTTTAAAGGGCGGGGCAACCGTTGTACTGTTGAAAGTAAGACTTTAGAACTCATGTCTCAAGGTGGGTGGCGGCGTTTACGTTGTAGATGTCTATGTGCTCCGGTAACCACTTAACACAAGGTGGGCCGTGAGCTCGTCCACCCATCTAAGCAATAAAAAATACTGTTATGTTACTAAAATATAACAAAATCTATGTAGAATATTTCACTGATGAGTTTTGATTGTTATTTCAGCCTCGCCAATGTCCATTTCATAGTCGCCTTCGTAAAGTGAACAAAAGTAAAAAGTAAATTGCACCAGCACTTCCTTAGTATTACACGATGCAATATTTAGCAAATGTAATTAAAATTGTTGTTCCAAATGATTTCATGTCTGTACTCATAAGGATTCCGATGTACTAAAAAAAGACACAGAACAAGAAAAAGAAATTCAAGAAGATAATTTTGATCAGAACTGTACGAGACAAGACGATCCATTGGATCTTTATAAGCAGAAAGAGCCCATAGACGCCGATGGTCGAAGTCCTTATATTCCAGGTAATTTAACGGAAGAAGACAAGAGACATGAAAGTTACGATTCGCTTGTGAAAGACGCAGTTAATCAGTTACACGGTCAACAAGAAGAAAAAACTGAAACATTCTGGAGAAAAGTCGCTGAAAACGCAAAGAAAAATGAGCAAGCCGTGGAAGAAATGAAATACGAGAGAAAAGATCAAACTCCAAAATTACCACAAGTAGACGTCACTCAAAATTTTCAGTTTGCTAAAAAGATGCATGTCGGCAATTTGGAGCACCAACCACTACCTGACACATTAGGATACAGAAATTTAACAAAAATCGGGGAACACAGAGGCTCCGATATTATTGTCAAGCCGTATGCGATTGGCTGGAAAGGATATGGAGCATCAGGTCCTACCTGCTGCACAAAAATGCGCGTCCACAGACCAAAAACATGTGATCCTAAGAAGGGTGAAAGTGAAAAAGACGAAAATAAACAGCGACCGTCGACTTCTGCTCCCGATTTAGGGGGTCAGTACAAAAAACCTATGTCACTCATGGATTTAGCGATTTGTTGGGATTTTAGAGCAGACGATCCCATAAAAGAGCCAAAACCACCCAAACATATTGATGGTTCGAACGGGTCTAAAGCTCCAGCAGTGTTCACAATGGTTCATACCCCGAAGGAAGAATTCGAGGAAAAAACAGGCCATTCGAACCCAATTTTCAATCAAAATCGGATAGTGGAAGATGTCGGACGCCATTCTGTACCATACTTCGAAAGAGACATCACAAAAGAAAAACGAAAGAATTCATGTGACGTTCAGCATTGTCCTCGGCATACTAGTGCTGATAAGAATTCAAGATCTGGATCTTTGAGTAGAAGAAATTCCAGTAATTCTGCAAAAAAATCACAATGTGACGGAGTTCATGGCTGTGGGACTCCTAGCGATTCGACTCGTAAAGGAAAGGGTGAGGACAGACCAGATAAATTGCAACCCATTAGAGACGCATGGAAAGATGATTTAAAGTACGGTAGTGAAGTCCATTCTAATAAGAACAGTTTGGAGCCGTACGAGAAGACGCCATTAGCTCAAGGTAAACTAAACCACAGTTCATCAAATGATTCACATATAACCAAAGCGAAAGACTGCGACAATTCTAGTGGCAGTTTAAAACATAAGCATTGTTTATCTTGCAACGGAACAAAGATACCTTCGGAAATAAAACAAAAGGAAGATTACAAATTCGCATTCAAAGCAGGCAATCCTAACTCTGTTAAAAGTGTGAGCACATCTATAGATTCAAAAGGATTCAAGATACCGAAGATGCGTCATCCGTATACAAAAAAATCGTATACCATACCGACGCTCGCGCCTCCGTTTAGTATCTGGAGGGATGCTAATGCAACGGGTTACCCGGAGCACTGGAGACTTGCAAGCGTTTACCAGCACGCCTACAAACCGCCCGAGCAACGTCGCAAACCACTCATAGATAGCGTTTTTCAATGACCAATTCAAGCTTTAGGGGTACATAATGTAAGAAAAGAAAAATACGTGTAGCATCGTCCATAAAATTGTTTATTGAAGCTAAAATCATCAATTGTTTATATACGAATCGTGAATAAATATCTTGCCGCTTACTAATCGCCGTTTATCATTCGTCTCGAACACCTGCGTGTTATCACCGAGCTGATATTGAGTAGACTAATTCCTTCGATGACGCTCAACGATTAATACGGTAAGAACCTCTCGTATTCCATGAAGAAAGTGCACTTTCTTATTGTTTCCCAAGCTTTGCTGCAGTACTGGAGCCATCCTCGTTCCGATAAGTTGGGAACGTTTGTGATCTGATGCCTGTTGACTCCGAGCACCATCCAGCGCAGTCGTTTTGCGAGCTGCTCGAAAGGTGGATGCCCGCGATAAATGTCTACGTTATCTGTAGAATAGATAAGCACCTGGGACGTGATTATCAAAGTACGTCCAAACAATGTTTCATTCGATGATAATTAATAATCTATAGTTCTATACTAATATTATAAAGCTGAAGAGTTTGTTTGTTTGAACGCGCTAATCTCAGGAACGACTGGTCCGATTTGAAAAAATATTTCAGTGTTAGATAGCCCATTACTGAGAAAGGCTATATATAGGCTATATAACGTCACGGTAAGATCAATACAAGTGGAGCACCAATAAAGAATGTTTCAAAATAGGGGCTTAAATAGCTCCTTAACATACTATAATTCAAAAATATTTTCACATTGTACGTAAATGAAGTGGGGGGTAAAATTTAGCGTTATGCCAAAGTAACTATTCCACGCGGACGGAGTTGCGGGCAAAGGCTAGTTAATAATAATATAATAAATCTTGTTACCTACTTAGTATTATATCTATCTAACATGAAACAATGTTGCAGGATATGGAAAATCAATTATTGATAAAATATAGTTACTTAAACGATATCTTTTAAGGTTTTCTCGAATTCAATCGTTTTATTTAATATTTTGTTGTGAAAAATAGAAAAGAGAATACAAGATTAGCATTTTTTTATAAATAATGCTTAAGAGTATTAACAATTGTATATTATAGGATATATATTATTATACACTTGTTTTTATTTACGGTATTTTCGCAGCAGGGCTAAATTTTTTTTCAAACGTTAGCTTTAAAATTTAATTTTTCAAGTAAGCAAGTAATTTAATTTTTGTTGAATCAGTATTGGGTTTTCTTTTTGTGATTTATTAGAAATTATATTTATAAATGTTTTATTAACTAAATTCAGGGAAAAGTGACCGAGTATTATTATTATCTAATATAATTTGATCGATGACATTTTTCGTTTTTTTTTTATTGCTTAGATGGGTGGACGAGCTCACAGCCCACCTGGTGTTAAGCAGTTACTGGAACCCATAGACATATGACGTAAATGCGCCACCCACCTTGAGATATAAGTTCTAAGGTCTCAAGTATAAGTTACATTTACCATAATCCTCGTATACTTCGGGCAGTAGGAACATATTTATGGGTGAACCGCACGTTTCCACGTTGTAGCTCTTGCATACGCTATCTACATTCAATCCGTTTCGATTCGTATCGCTGTACATGTACATTCCAGAGTTTAGCTGCAGTGACGACTTTTGGAACGCCTTTCTAGAAAAAAAAAGTAACCTCTTTACGTGTTTATGAACTTTATTTGACAAAAAAAAAAACATTATTAATTGTAAATATATTTAAAAAAAAGAAAAATTTCATTAAAATTGAGATAGATTTTAAGTATTAAAAATACAAAGTCATTTGTCAGGTGTGGGGTTCGAACCCACGCTCCCTCTCGGGAACCAGAGCTTAAATCTGGCGCCTTAGACCACTCGGCCAACCTGACGACACGAAGCCTTCTTGAATTTATGAACCCGATGCCTGTTCCAAATAGTTTGTGATAATTTAGGGAAAATAACGCAAATTGTTTGTCTTCTAAATACAGTCAAGGGTGGGGACTTTATTATTTCTGTACAAATTATAAGCTTATAGTGACGATATAGTAATCTTCCTATAAATTTGTAACTCAGAGAACTTATGTTTCAAAGTGGGTGGGGCATTTACGTTGTTGATGTATATGGGCTCTGGTACCCACTTAACACCAGGCGGGCCGTGAGCTCACCAACCCACCTAAGCAATTTTTTTTTTGTTTAGTACGATACGTTGTAGGAAAATTAAATCTCTCTACAAAATTTGAACCCCGGAATAGCCGTATCGATCGATGCTAATACACCAGACGTTATTATCTGATCAGTAGAGTTTCAATTCAAATATTTGATGTCAGTCACGTTTCACGGATATTATTGAAAGGTGTGAAGTATTGTGGAACTTGTGCATTATCCATTGTAACTTTACGCAACTAACACACCTGTAAAGATCTTGCATAATTTTAATGGATTCGGGTGTATAATCTTCTAGCTGACATCTGTTATGTAGAAGCAGCAAGTGGGGCTGGTTCTCACCAATGGCCGTCGATTCTGAACCTTCTTGGTTCGAAATAGTATTTGAAGCCGATAGTGAAGGCTTTAACATCTCCGCTGTTTGAATGTATCTGAAAAAATTTAATACTCCTGTCGTATTTTTGTGAAATAGTTCGTAGATTGGTGTTAAGGCTTCTTGCGAGATTGCACGGGTAGGTACCACCACCGTACCTATAAAACTATGGAGGGTAGAGGTAAGTAGATATAAGTTTAGGAAGTGGGGAATTTTTGACAGGAACGCGAGGAGCGAAGTTGTGTGATTTGTTTTATTTTGTCTACCTATTTAGTGTTTCTTCAGGTTTAAATGTGTAATAACGGTGGTTTATTAACTGTTTAGTATCTGTGAAAGTGTACAAATGTAGGAAAATGAAACAAAGCCGCTGCTGAACGTAGCTTCTCGAAATCCTCCAAGAGTCCCACTGAAAAAGTCTCAGTAAATGACCACAATTTTACTAAGATTATATTTCATCCCATATCATTTCATCTTATTTCATTTCATTTCACTCCATATTATCATTTTTCATAAAAATAAGAATATAAATTAAAATAAGAATTGACCTAAAGGTCTTAGTTACCAGGTCAGAAAATCTCTTAAAAATATAGGAGCTGGAAATGATTGAATATATCAGATTTACAGAGAATGAAGTGTGCTGGATTAAAGTGAAGTGTGGTTGGTAGTTTACTACTACTGCGATAGGTATTTGCTTCTTCTATGGCGCTACCTTAAATGGCTCCCTTTCAGCGGACACTTTATGATACTGAGATGGTGCTTCTACCCTCCAGAGTAAAGATTAAGACTTAGAATTCATGTCTGAAGGTGGATGACGACATTTATCTTGTTGATGTCTACGGGCTTCGGTACCTACTTAACACCAAGTGAGCTTTGACACTCGTCCACTAATCTAAGCATAAAAAATAGATTGGTTGACGGATAACACACAGCCTATACCAGTGTTGTTTATTTATTTCGGTTGTAGGCAGACAAGCGTACGGCCCACCTGATCGTTAGTGGTCCGAGTCGCTCATGAACGTCAGCAATGTCAAAGGCACAGCCCAGCCATTGTTTACTTCATGTAGAATCCGTAATTGGCACTTTTTATGGATATTGAAGGCCAATGTGGTTGCCGGCCTGTTAGGGATTGGTTCGCGCTGAACTTTTGGACTGCAGTAACACGAGGAGTGTCACCATACGTTCCTAGCTTTCTTACACTGAGGAAAGGCCGTGGTTGGGAACTCATTACATATCGAGTGCATTTCGTTACGTGCACTTTGTACGTTCATTTCGTACGTTACGTTCATGGGTGATATATCCTTTTATTTTTTCTCCTGCTTATTCTAGTAACCTCGAGGGGTTATTCTAGATTCGCTGAGCTAGTAGGTGAGGTCACGGGGCTCAAACCTGACGACGTTTCTAACACGAACCCTAGCAAGAGCCGTGCTTTGCAGAATCTACCACCGGATCGGAAATGCGACCCACTGAGAAGATCCGGCGAGAAACTTAGCTCACTAAGTGTCTGTGTGTTAATTTACTCGTCGCAAGCTATCCGAATACACTAGACATGTGCATTAAGCATAGTGACTGGCTTTGACCGTAATGTTATCTAGATTTATAAATCTGCGTGATTCAGAAAACGAATAACGCCATCTATCGAACAATACGGTAAACACTTCTATAAGCTTTATGTTCAATAAAGATATTGTGATAAAAAAATTTTGGGAAGGATCACGGAAGTTGTACTTAAAAACGCTCGAATATTTAATTCATATTATACAGATTGAGTTGTGGGAAAATTGTTGGCATTAGATATCATCTCCTTCATCATCACACCACCCTACACATAAGCACAGGCCTATTAATAAAGATACCTCGACAGTATCTCTAGGTGAATCTAGAAAGAAAATTTGATAAACAATTCTCCTCACACACACAGTTTGTTTTTGGAGTATTAAATAAATAAAAAAAAGCTTACCTAATAAAATTATAATCTGTAAACCAATCCTGGACTGCAATAAGCACATGACATATAGCCATTAGGAATGAAGCTATCTGAAGACATTCTACTGTGATTTCATTAGAACTTTTCGATTTTATAGGAGGCATGCTGTCTTCTATTAAAGATGGTGACCAAAGAGCTTGACAATCCAGAAGAATCACACGATCGTTTGTTATGTACATATCGATACCTAAAATCATTCAAATACATGAAAATCTGCACTAAATTCCAAAGTGGGCATATTCGTTTCTTTCAGTCATTTTCACACTATAATAGGTATTAAAAGATAGTAACATAGGACATAGGACAGCTATACAGTGGAAATTATTTTGAACTTCTTGAAAAATTTTTGCTTTTGTGTAGCATTTGTCTTCTACAGGCCGTGTATGGTCAATGGAGTTATCTATCCCTTTGTAGTTAGGGTACGGATTTTGCATTTGCTCTAAAATAGCAGACTCCCTCCAAATTAGGTAATCTCGCTTCTATTTGAATTCACTTTATGATATACTAGCGACCCGCCCTCGCTTCGCTTCGGAAACATTAAAACACACATGAAACCAAAAAAATAAATTAAAAAAAATGAAAAAAAAGTAGCCTATGTTCATCAGGAACAATGTCGGCTTCTAATGGAAAAAGAATTTTTCAAATCGGTCCAGTAGTTTCGGAGCCTATTCGAAACAAACAAACAAACAAATCTTTCCTCTTTATAATATTAGTATAGATATATGGGTTCTAGCAAAATAGTTAAAATCAGGTAGTGGTAGTTTACTTGCCAATTCACATTAATAAAAAATATTTAACTGCAGCTTTTATTGGAGTTGATAGATATAGAAACTCCTTATCAAAAGAAAAGAAAATATATACACAGATAGCAGTGACAATAGGTGCCATAAGAAGAAGTGAAAAAATATCGGTCAGTTTCATGAAGTAAAACAAAATAACAAAAGTGATTTCATTAAAAAAATTCTAAAGCGTCCACGTAGTTCATTCTAATTTATAAAAGTGTGTTAGTATAGTATTTCGTAACTGCCTGCACTCTGCGATTTAAAGATTTGACTCTGCTACCAAGAACTTTAAATTATATCAGCTTTGTCATATGAAATTGTAACCATACCTTTGGTACAGTGAACGCCTCTTTCAATTTGTTCAATATCTTGTATTTTAAACTTTGAAAGTGTATTCTTATCGATTTTCGGTTCTTGTGGCTGTATTAAATCAAGATTATCTGATTGATTTTCAATATTAGCCATTACATTTGTTTCATATACACCCTCTGGTGCCTCATGGGAATTTAGAATTTCACTACATAGGTTTTGGTCAAATTTGTTTTGTGCTATCAGATTGAGTATTGTTGATTTACCAACACCTTGAGTTCCTGTAATGAGAAATTGTAAATTAATGACCAAAAGACTAATGTTTAAATGTGTGTGTACAGAAAGTATCTTAAATATTCTTTTCCGATGCCAGGGTTATTGACAATCTATTGCTTCCATTGACAAGAAAATTAATCTGAACAGGGATATAGTGGTTCTAGAAGTAATAAGGTAAACTGATTATGTATTTTCACAAATGAATACTATTTCTTTCTTTTGGAAAACTAAACTGGTTTTAAGCCGATACTAAGTTTTATGGTATTGTAAAAATGCATGGTAAGCTTTGCAATTCAACAACTGAAATGTGTGACTTCTGCCATATTACCAAGCCTCAGCTAAATCAGTTAAGTTCAAATTTTGAGACTAGCAGTGGCATAAACATAGAACTTATTGACATATGGCTTTGCATTAAAATTCATCCCATTTGTTTGATGAACTGTTATTTCAAGAATAAAAAAAAAACATTTACCTATGATTCCAACAACTAAATAGTTTGTACTTGAGTCATGCAGGAACTCCAAGGCTCCTGAATTAAATACAAAATGTTTGTCCAATAGTTTCACTGGCTCCAGCATTGGTTTTAAGGGAGGACTAACTTTTTGTTCTAAAAAAACATTAATCATTAATTTTATTTTGGAATTCTCTCAAAACATCGTGATTTCTAGTTCTTGGAGACTGCTGTTGCTATGATAGGGTTTCTTAGTGTTAGTGAGTAATAAAAGGTTCGCAAAGGTAACCAATGATGATATCAAACTTTCATACATATAAGGTTTTCAACTTTTTAAGTAATTATATAAAAATGGGATTTTCAAAAAAGTTGGTAGTAAGCAATGACTCCCTGTGGACCAGAAATTCAGCTATCCATGATTAATGTAACCACTTATAGTAGAATAAGTTTAGACTCTATGAATGTTATCAATTGAAATAGTTAAAACAATTCCAGATTTTCATATTTATCAATCAATATTTTCAAATATACACCTATCGTCTTTTTCTCTTTATTTTCATTCTGAACTATTTTAGATGGATGAGGCCCTTCCGCTTCAAGGTTTGATGTTTTAGAAATTTTAGGGCTTTGAGGTATTTCATCTTTGNTAGAATAAGTTTTAGACTCTATGAATGTTATCAATTGAAATAGTTAAAACAATTCCAGATTTTCATATTTATCAATCAATATTTTCAAATATACACCTATCGTCTTTTTCTCTTTATTTTCATTCTGAACTATTTTAGATGGATGAGGCCCTTCCGCTTCAAGGTTTGATGTTTTAGAAATTTTAGGGCTTTGAGGTATTTCATCTTTGGGAGTACTTTGTTCCCGAGTTTTTAAAATTATGGTGGGTTGTTTTTCTTTTTCTTTCTCTTTTGTTGCCTCTTTATTTGAATTATCACGTTCTGATTTTAAAATTACTGGCCGTCTTGGAGTTGTGGGCTCCTGTAAGATTTGCAAGAACTGTTAAAATGTATTTCTTTTTACTTTCTTTAATGGCTTTCATAAAAGGTTGATGAAAAAAATAGAATAAGTATTTTTGTAAATGGTTCATGCTATTCAGATAATTTAAAAATTTCAACAAGTCTGTACAGTACATTAATAAATTTATTATATTGTTAAACCAAAGATCTTGTTTACATTTTTCTAACCTATAAATATTTACCTTGGGTAGGAAAGGTTTTTTCTTTTTATCGGCCATATCTATTCAATTAGGTACTTTACTTCTTTTTTAAATGTTACTTGCAAATAAACAACAATCAATATTAAAACAGGACTATCTCCTCAGTTTATCTATCTATCATCCACAGAACACTATTACTTGCTATCATCAATCATCAGGTTTATTTTCGTTTTGTCCTCTTGCGATTCTTGCACCGTTGCACAAGCAAAGAAAGTGTAGTCAAACAGCCAGATGCTCGGAACTGTCCGGAACAGATGACAACCGCGCTGTGTCACTTATATTGATTCGATAGAATTTTGTCTCGGGCGAAGTTCAAACACAATTAGTTGAGTTACAAGAGGTTTTCGTTGGTTCATCTCCAACATCTCCACAAGGCCACAAGCCACTTTAGAAATTCGGCGACTTGTATCTAAAACCATATAAATGTAAAAAAAAAAACTGTTTTTGACATCAAATTTTTGTGTAATAAAGCCTAAGTCACTAAAGCCATTTAAATTATTTCATGTTCTTTTTCTAATATATTATTATTTTGATGGTGCTGCTAGCTATGTACAAATGATTTGCTAAATTATTTGGCGAAGTAGATTTTTTTTTCGGGCCGGGGTCTCATAATTGCTTAAGAGCTGCGGGTATGTGGGACTCGACGATCTGAAAGGTGTTGGGAGCAAACCGTGGGCCCAAGGAATTTTAGGGTCCACCCACTAAACGACTCTCCTGCACTCGTCGTTCAAGCGTCCGGGCGTCCTATCCCCTCCAAGGTCAGAACCCGGATGAGGTATGGGGGTTACCGCGGTCAACACTGCAATCAGACAACGCAGCTCACCCTAAGGACGCCCAGCCGACGGAGCCTTCGAGGCAAATCGAAGGCTCTGAAACCGCAGCCGTCTCGGTACGGCAGCCCGTCAGGCCACCCAGACGGTACCGCTGGTGTCCCGGAATATCCTGTTGGACCAGAACCAGCCTGCCGGGTCGGGACGCGATACACCGCCAACCGGTTGCTCTTTTTTATCTCCTTGGCAGCGCGCTAGAGTGCTGGTAGCGCGCCACGCGACCTCTACCCTTTAAGGTAGCCCCTTGAACTTCACCGAGGGGAAGCCACCACCTACAGGGGCCCGAACGCACGAGTGTACTCCCTCTTCCGGCCCCCGGCTCGACGGCGCCGCCGGCGGAGATATGAGTTTTAAGGTCTCAGTATAGTTATAACGGCTGCAAAAACCCTTCAAACCGAAACGCATTACCGCTTTACGGCAGAAACAGGCAGGGTGGTGGTACCTACCCGTGCAGACTCACAAGAGGTCCTACCACTAGTAATTACGCAAATTATAATTTTGCGGGGTTTGATTTTTATACACGATGTTATTCCTTCACCGTGGAAGTCAATCGTTAAGTATATATTTGTTTCGAAAAATTGGTACTCGCATGCGGGATTTGAACACCGTTGCATCGCTAGATACGATAGCACCGGACGTCTTATCTTTTAGGCCACGACGACTTAACTCGGCTTCGATTTTAGCTTAATGAACCTCAGTAAATTAGAATTCTTTTTTTTTTTCACTTTGGTATTTCATATTTCACTTATTTTTTAAATCCTTGTTGTATTTCTTATGCTTGTCCAAGTTGACATTCAAATAAAAAAATCACTATGATTTGACATTTTCTGTCGACTGTCGAATCTACCTATCCATTATTTTGATTGTGCGAATTACGTATAAGTTTTTCAACGATAAAATCTATAAAATGGATTTCAGGATTAAAATATATCTATTTATGTCTTGTTTGTATTGTTCAATATTTCCAATTTACGGTGAAGATGTGTGCCTGAAAAAAAGTGCGTGCGTTTGTGAGTTTTCCAACGGCACCGGAATAGATTTGTCTTCGGCCAGTAAATCGACATTTTTTTCTGCTCAAACTTTTGAAGTAGCTCCAGCAACAAATGCGATTGAACTTAGTACTTATTACTATCATCCTTGCTATGACATACTTCTAAAACCGAATTCTACAACTGTTAACAATACTTGTACAGTACCGACAGCCGTAAGTTACAATTTCAAAAAAATAAACTTTAAAAGAAATATTTTTCATGTTTTAAATAAACGACACTATCTTTGCTATTAATATCATATTTTGAAACGTTTAATTTGGTTTAAAGTGTTCTACCGATAATACATCAATATGCACATAATTAGGGAAAACTGGTTTTTCAATAATCAAAAAACGTTTCATCGCTACAAGGTTTTTTAGCGATCAAACTGTAACTGTTAATGGCAGTAGTAATCTTTAAAATATATTTAAGGAAAAATATTTTAAAGATGCAATATTTTCCTAGCTAATAATTCATTTTAGGATGAATGCAGTCCTTTATGAGTGACTACCTACTACCAGGTGGCCATCCTTTGTCTATAATAATATATATTCGAAAACTGTTATACATTAATATAAATTCAGTAAATAGTCAAATTCATGTTACTACTTGAATTTGAGTATTATCAAAGAATTAATGGGTAAAAATATGTTCTTAAAATCTGCATGTCTTAATTGTATAAAATGTATCATTTAATCTATTCTACATACATATATGTACATGCAACAGTAAAAACTTAAAATTAATATTTTCTTGTTTTATCTGGCATTAGAATTTAGTGGAATGTACTCTTACTACTTTTTCAGATTTGCAGACACAGAGAAGTGCTTCATGCTGTTGATGGTACACCAGACACATATAAAAAGGATCTAAATGTGTATGATTTAATTGGCAATACTGATAAATCGGTATTTAGTGCTAAAGGAGATGCAATAGTTTACACTCATGGTCCATCGTAAGTTTTATTAGTATTAATAATATTCCAAAAAGGCCTTTGGTAGTATCACAGCTAGATGTGTATAGGTTAAGGTGATCACTCATACCTGACTATAACTATTTAAGACACAGCATCCCATGTACTTTGTAATTGTTTTTATTAGAACTGGATCTTTAAAACACACTGTCAACATCACTTGTTTTTCAGATAATATAAGATCTAAGAATATAATGACTAAATTTATTTTCAAAATGTAATGTTACATGTACTAGTATGGTTAAGCTTCAAGTAAATAATATGAAAAATATGAATTTTCAATAGGATTCGAGTAATTCTACTTTCAGGCCATACTTGTAACATCACGTTTTGGAAAATTATATAATTTTCACTTAGTTCCCACTAGTTTATCTTGCCTGTATTATTGTACCGTTTACAAGTTAGATTATGAAAAAATATATGTTTTAAAATATGCTTCTTTTGTAAATGTTTTTAAAATAAAACTTTTCATTTATTTCCATTTTTAATACTTTAATTAGGAGACTAAGGCTATAATATAATACTAAAAACATACAATAAAAAGAAAAAAAATGCTATGCTAAAGCTAAAAACAAGATAAGCAAAATACCCAAATAATATGTGGTAAGTTTATATACTGTTGGAGTGGCAGTGACACTATAGCAGCGTAATTTATAACACACTAGAAGCCTTGTCAATAAATTCTGTAAACTGTATACTGGAAGTAATTTATAAAGTTGCACTAGTAGGATTGTGATAAAATTTTGCACCGGCATTCTTTTTATAAATTCATCTCTCTGCATCCAGATGGACCTGACACTTTCTATGAAAATACAGGGGTTGCTAAGAAATTCGTAAAAATTACTGAGCCTTTATTTACAAACTGGAATATAAATTAAAGCTATTTACTCATTTTACTTCTGAAAATAATTAATGTAAATTAGAGGAATAAATGAATATTAAAAAATACCATTCAGTAGTAAATAAAGATTTAAACAGGTGCTGTATTACAATGTAATTAAATTTCAATATTTAAAATTTCAATGTTACAGAAATACAACAGTTCTCCTCATTTGCTCTCTGTCTGATGGTGAATTGCAAATTTTCTCTTTAGCAGAGCCAAATAACCTTGTAAGTATTCTTCACTTGAGAAATAAGAAAAATGTATAATCTACACTTTGCTTTCAATGTTACCTAGGAAAATTATTAAAAATATCTAAATACTTCAGCTACATAACATCTGGTAGCTTGTAAATGTTAAGATGTACAAAGATCCTAACCAAAATAGGATTGTGTATCTGTTTATATAAAAATAAATTTAGATAGATAATCAATGATACATTTAAATTTAGGACTTCTATCCTTAAGTTATATTCTTTAGTACTATAATGCTGTCTACCAGAGCAAAGTAATAACAGATAGTCATTAAAAGTTTTAAGGTTTAAGAGAGCCGAAAGTAGATAAATCAGATGCAGTGTTCCGATTAAAATAAAACAAAACATTGCTATTTGGATATCTATGTGAAGCTTACTGACTGGATATAGTTATTGTTACCAAACTACTTTTATATTATTTTAAGTAATATTTCCCCAGTGGCCGAATATTGTCCAGAATCATAATCAGTTACAGATACTAGATTTAGAAATTCTTTCTTTTGTCATATGTATTTTTCTTGTAAGGGTACCAAAGTAACATTATTCATTTATTGTGTTTATTGATAAAACCAAAGCGGTCACTAGCTACAAAGAAAAAAACGAAATTGGTTGATTAGCAGAAAAGGAAGTGGAATGAAATTGTTCTGTGTGTGTTTTTTATTGGGGTTGTGAGTTGTTACAGGTGGTTAAGTAGTAACTAGCTCATAAGACATAACATCTAACTTAAGACACTAGCATGAAGACTCAATTGTATTGTATAATGGCAGTTACACACTTAAATCGAAGCAAGTTTTGAAGTCGTCGTGGCCTAAAGGATAAGACGTCCGGTGGATTCGTATATATGCGATGCAACGGTGTTCGAATCCCGCAGGCGGGTACCAATTTTTCTAATGAAATACGTACTTATCAATTGTTCACGTTTGACTTCCACGGTGAAGGAATAACATCGTGTAATAAAAATCAAACCCGCAAAATTATAATTTGCGTAATTACTGGTGGTAGGACCTCTTGTGAGTCCGCACGGGTAGGTACCACCGCCCCGCCTATTTCTGCCGTGAAGCAGTAATGCGTTTCGGCTTGAAGGATGCGGCAGCCGTTGTAACTATACTGAGACCTTATAACTTATATCTCAAGGTGTGTGGCGCATTTACGTTGTAGATGTCTATGGGTTCCAGTAACCAATTAACACCAGGTGGGCTGTGAGCTCGTCCACACTACTAGGCAATAAAAAAAAAAAAGTGGGTACTTTGCCGAGTAAAGATCCAGCATGCCCCATCACACGACTTACCACTAGTAAATAAGGAACGCAGTACGTTAGTATAATATTCGGATAATGCTAGTGCCCTTTTTCTGGTGAATCATTTTTTCGCCTTTTACGACACCCACGGGACCAGATATGGTGGTGCTATCTTAAACAACATTAGGGTAATTAGTTCGTTTAATTGTGGTGACAATTAATATTTTATGTATGAATTTTTTTTTATTGCCCCTGTAGGCAGAGAGCGTACGGCCCACCTGATGGTAAGTGGTCACCGTCGCTCATGGACGACAGCAATGCGAGGGGCAGAGCCAAGCCCCTGCCTATGTATGCATGCTTATACTCGCAAATGTTTAATATTCACTTTGTTCAGGGAAATTGTAAAATAGATGAATAAAAACAAGGAATTTTTGGTGTTTTACAAAGATTAAACATAAAAAAAATGTTTGTAATTATATAATTTAAAATCTTAATTAATAATGTATTGTTTTAGGTTCTAGCTTTCTACTCGCAAAGTGCTTGTTTAAAGCAAATTGATTCCGGAAGATCTGTTGGCTCGACTTTGTTAATAATATTCTTTTCGTTTGTCATATTTTACTTGGTCCTCGGAGTTTGCACCAAGAAATTCCTGATGGGTGCAACTGGTGTGGAAGTTATACCCAATCTAGGATTTTGGACAGATCTGCCCAATCTTGTTAAGGTAAGTGAAACAAAAGAGCAAGAAATAGCTGAAGTTCAATTAATTTAAATAGGCTAGTTGCAATTCGACATTCAAACCTGTGTCTATTTTACTCATGACACTCGTCATCGTGAATCCCACCAAAGCTCTTCCGCCGCCGCCAGCCGTAAGCCGGTTCCCTAATGGGTCTATTCCAGCCTATTCCAACTAAGCCTCAGTGACCCGTACGCCAGTATACGAAAGTCGACATCTAAGCCTAAAATTTTAAAATGTTTTTATTATTATTTTTGTTTGCTTAGATGGGTGGACGAGCTCACAGCCCACCTACACCAGGTAAGTGGTTACTGGAGCCCATAGACATCCACAATGTAAATGCGCCACTCACCTTGAGATATAAGTTATAAGGTTTCAAGTATAGTTACAACAGCTGCCTCATCCTTCAAACAGAAACGCATTACCGCTTCACGGCAGAAATAGGCAGGGCGGTGGTACCTCCCGTGCAGACTCACAAGAGGTCCTACCACCAGTAATTACGCAAATTATAATTTTGCGGGTTTCATTTTTATTACACGATGTTATTCCTTCATCGTGGAAGTCAATCCTGAACATTTGTTGAGTACGTATTTCATTAGAAAAATTGGTACCCGCCTGATATTCGAACACCGGTGCATCGCTCAACACGAATGCACCGGACGTCTTATGTATGTACTTGTTACCAGTGTGTACCAGTTAATAATGAAATTATTTTTAGAGAAAACAAGCTAACAAAGTATTTTTTTATCAACTTATGGGAAAGTTACATGGTGTATACCTTCAGGACGCTCTCATGTAAATTTGGGGTTTGGCATTTGAATTAGTTTGCATAGAACCCTTCGTGCATACTGAATCTCCTATAGATTCTCAACAGAAAAGGTACCTTAGTATCAAAGAAAGTTTAGTTAATTGCTGTTTTTCTTACTAAACACACCATGCTTCAAAGTCCATGAAATGCAAAACATGTCTGACTACAACAGCTCTGACATTCGGCGATGACGGCTTTACGGTGGAAAGGTCGAACTCTAACCCAACCCTCCTCTTTTTTCATCCGGGCTTGAGTCATCATTGAGTCATTTCATCTTTCATCGGCAGAGTTAATGTTAATTGTCTAAATTAAAATTATTTAAATGTCTATTGTGTCTTATTAATTATATGAAAATTTCCTTTTAGGATGGATGGGCATTTATGTTAAGCGGCTTCAAACTGCCAGCTCGTAGCGCTGGGCCTACACTGTCGCCTGACCCCAACAGCTATGACAGCATATAACATCAGACCGACGAGCCTCTATCCGAGGGGCACCTCGTGCTCATCGAGTGAATCTTTGATGAGCTACATATTAAAGGACATTAGTGTTGATGTGCTAACATATATACATTGTAAACATTATACACAAGTACAGTTATTTCGAATATGATCTGCTATTTCAAGATGTTTTATCCTTTAGATTTTACGTACAATGAAAAAAAAAAATTAAATGTATTGGTAAGTAATCAAAATAACACGTTTTTATTAATACAAAACAAATAGAACTATGCTATATTTCCTTTGCTTTTTAAATCGATCAAATCAAAATAGTCATACAATGCATCAACATTTCTTGTCTTTGTGTGTAGGCGTATGCTGTTTTTAGCGCCATTAAAAAACTAGACTTTTCAGATATAAGAATTTTAGACACGTTTTATTGTTTTAATTGGAGCCGGCTTATTACGGCAAGGGACCGGTTTATACATTTTCAATTCCCACCATATGTACTATGCCTAAAGCGTCCGACGTCTAAAGACCAAAAGACTGGTTTCACGATCAACGTATAATAATTAGTATTGTGGCATAGAAAGCGGATCTAGAGTTTTATGACGTCTCGTCAAATATAACAGATTACAAAAAAAAACGCGACAAATAAAGTGTAGCGAGTATGCGTACCGTAATAAGAATAACTCGGACTGGGTTACGGACCCTGTGATACAGTAATTAGAGTCGTTAATTGCTTGGCCTTCGTGGCGAAAGAGTAATCTCTGTGTTGATCTCAACAATGCGTTGCGTTGACTCTGCGTTCGGTACGAGCTTTTATAATATCCATCTCATTTCATCTTTTTTTTTTTGTAATACAGTAAAAGAAACTAGTCAATAAAATTTCGGGAAGGCATTTAGCCGCAACACTAAAAAAAAAAAAGATTTTTTTGAAAATGGAAAGGCAATATTGTACATGCATAATTTCACAGCTCGTCAACGGGGCGGATAGCATTGCTCGTTAGATCGAATTTCCAAATGTCATTGTTCGGTAATTAATTCTTCAATAAAATTATTTCTAGCGCAGTTCAGACTGGAATTCTTCATTAGGTGACAAATACACGGTTATATAAATAAAAAATCCTCGAAGAACAAAATAATGTAACAAAAAATTGCTTGCGTTTTACTAATGAACTAGTAATTAAGATCAAGGTCGTTGTTTCGTCTCCATCCAGCCTATTTCTATGGCAGTCGTGCAATCCGGTTTCAAATGGTAGAACGGTAATTAGAATAAAATTGAGAAGTTTATTTCTCAAAGTTTGCAATGTGAAATCATTCAGCCGGCGTGCTTCAAACTTCTAGTTTAGATGTAGTGAGAAATTACTTTCCTTCGGGAAAACTCGGATCTTTATCGGGATACGATGACACCCGAACTGTCAATGAATGATCGTAATAAATAAGTGACATTTTCATATCTATTTTAAGGACCTTTATTGTTTAGTATCAAATGTCAAAATGGATAATGTCATTGTATAATATAGAGATGATACAACCATAACAATTATTATTTAAAACGGTATATTTACCAGTGTATTATACGAAATGAGTTCCCGAGATTTTCAAGTAATAATTGTTATGTTCAGGATGTGTGAACATAAGTTTCGTCAGTATACACAATATCTCTGCCTTCAGATCTGTACTTCCTTATTAAGTCTAGGTACTTTACTATTTTAAGTCTAACGTCATCTTTTTCCATCAGCATTTTCGTATTATTAGTAATTTTCTTGAATAAAAAAACCATTTGGCGAAGTATTCTTCTTAGTGAAAAATCACATCCTTTAAAATTGCTTTTATTGTAGGGACCTGTTTATTTATAAATGAGATGAAAGTTATAAACCATTCGTCGTGTCACTGCATAATTAAAATCATCAAGATCTAGATAGAATTTCTTGCGTGGTCTACCCAGCTTAATTTTGTTTGTGTTAGTATTTTTTTTATTTCTTTGTTCTACCTGGTTCAAAATTTTTCTTATTGTTGGTCTAGATGTGCCCGTTGCGTTCGAAATTCTCTGTTGAACTTTGCCAACATACTCAGAGTTGTTGCTATTTTTGAACTTGCTCTTTTCCAATATGAAGTACAGGTAAATATTAAATATAATTCCTGGGACGAGATTTTTTTACCGTTTTCGAGGTTTCGGTGTGGCTATACAACAGTTTTATAAGTAATCTGAAAATATGATTGAAACTATAGCGAATATTTGAATTGCGTATTATCCACTCTATATATATATTGGTCTGCTGTTGTGCCTTACGCCTAGGGCTCTAAGATGGGTAGGTACTGAAGCTATTTGAGAGAGCACGTTAAATACGAATTTTTCCGAAAAAATACGAAGTAAAATCTTTTCTCACTATATCTATAAGCTGTTAAAATGATTCATCGACTTTATTTTTTTACTTTTTTTAGGCTGAATCTTAGCAACCCCTTCTATTGATCATAATCGTGAAATATTTTCGCAGTAGCACCTATATTTGTTAAAATTATGTTATGATTAATTATTTACAATTAATAAATCTTGAAATCTCTTCCTACATTGTGAGGGTGACGATATAATTTTAAATCGCACCACGCATAAGGTGTTTCACGGTCGCGGATAAAATCATTTTTCGACTTAGTACTTCAGCCACAATATTATTATAGTTATTTCGCATTTCATTATTTTATGGAAGTTTCAAACACGAATATGTGTCGACAAGTTCAATGTGACTTATCTCTAGGTCTATGTTACCAAATGTTGCTCTCCCATATAATTTGATAGATTTTATAAATAATTATTTTGACGGAGTCATTTTAATGATTCATTCATTCTTGGCAATATATGAATTGACCAATAAGGTTTTATTCTGTTTTATACGATACCGTCATCCTCATCGCGTATATTGTGAATATTCGAAGCTCCTATAATTTGTAAATACGTAAATACATAGCACATTGCATTTTTTGTAAACCAAAGCAGAGTCTTGCCCCTCTAGTGTCCCTATACATTCTACGTTAATTTAATACATTTACTTCTATTTAAAAATATTTTTACCGTTTAATCTCGCCTTCTTTATTTTCACGAATCACGAGAATTGTAAAGTACTCCGATCATTTAAAATAATTAAATAGAAATTAAAAAAAGCGAGATTAAATGGCAAAAGTTGTTCTAAATATGTCTATGAAAACCGAAGAAAATGTTATGTTTAGTTTGTGTTATAATATGTATCGTAAACATATCGTAAAGAAAGATCGACACAGCTATTATTGCATTACGAAATAACGTAGTGGTACTAGTACTAAAGAAAATAATAAATATTTTTTGGACTCCTGATATATAGGGCGGCACTAGTTTAGGCCCATTGCACTCCGCCACTATTAATAAAGAATATATTATTAAATATTTTACCCTGAATTGTAATTTCAGCGTCTATAATAAATGTCTTTAGAACCTTTATATTATTGTGAATTGTGAGACTATACACATATACAGTTGTAATCATGTTTTGGATTTTCTTTTTTAAATAAACCACTTTATTTTTATTAGTATTTATTTTTATCTGTATATTGAATCATGATTTGAATTAGTAGTCTATATTATCTGACAAGATCGAGTACCTAGTCTGTCATTCTGAATATGAAATGAATTTGTCGTAGGGTACTACTGTACAATTGTCGCATTCAACCGATTCGCATTCATAACCAATAAGAACTGTCGACGAGCGAACGAAAATCGTGACATTACGAAATATAAATCGTCTCGTTTTCGAATGACGAATATATTGTGCAATATTTGCTGATACAAGACAAAAATGATTTCGTGTTATTCTTACATAAACGAAAGATAATTTCCATGTTGCATGCCGATTGAGAGTAATAATACAATACCTACAATAATACATAATACATAACAATAATAATACATACAATAATAATATAATACAATACAATACCTTGTGATTGAATTAAGCCGCTCTTCGTGCGTATAATTTTTATTGTCTCATTTAGTTTTAGACTGTATGGACAAAGAAGTATGAATATAAAGCTTGGTCTTATTGCTAGTACGTGCTCTTAAATGCAATAACAGCAATTTCGGATTTCTGTAAATCTGAGCCGAATCAACGGGAATTCCATCATAAATCAAGTATGGTATCGCACGTAAATATGTTTAATATAAATTCAGTTCATAGTAATGTATTTTATGTAAACAAATGTTTTTTGACGTGCGATTAAATAAATCAAGACAATATGGTAGGCTTTTAAGTTGGATGACGGCATTCACATTGTGATGGGCTCCGGTATTTAACCGCTTAACAACAGCTGAGCGGTGGGATCTATCACCCAAAAATGAAATTGAAAAAAAAAAACAAAGACTTCCCTCTTTTGAGTGTTTGTATGATTTTCATTTACCCAACGCTTTTTGTAGTTATAGTATAATGAATGTAACATGTTACAGTATATTTAAATATAAATTTATAATTAAAAAAGGATCAATATTTTTAGATTGAACATAAATGCTACGATTGTGGTGATGACGTAGCAATTTTAGTCTTAAAAGAGTGGATAATTTTAAGATAAAACATGTTTAGAGTGTTATTTGCAAATTAATTGGTAGATTCAGTTTCCTCTATAATAATATATCCTTTCCGTCTTTCTTAATTTGTCATATTAATTTACAAATATAAAAATCTAGTTCTGTATTCGATAAAATAGTCGCACGCGTAAGTCTTGTTAAAAGATTCATCATTTGTGAACAAAATAAAATCTAGTAAAAAGCGGACAATTCGTGTTAAGGATGAATTACAACCTTAAAAGTTTAATATGATTAGGATATTGCCATTTAAAAAGACAAAATTTTCGTTTTTGGACAATATGAACTTTAAGTACTTTTCTATGTATTTTTATAAAACAAAGAACGTATCTCAGTTTGTTTTTTTAATTTATATATATTGCATATCATATAGGCTCTAACAAAATCTATCTTGAAGTCGTTTAACAAAAATTGTATACTAACTTAACATAACGCGAAAATAACACAAATTTTTTGGTCTAAATGCCCAGAACTAAAGTAAGTAAAGAGTAAAGTAGGTAAAGAACATGCGTCAACAAAAGTCGCATTGGTGGCCCATATGTAGTACTGTTTCGAACGTAGAGACTTACCTAAATCTTCTGCATACCCACATACGGATTTTTTTTTATTGCTTAGATGGGCGGACGAGCTCACAGCCCACCTGGTGTTAAGTGGTTACTGGAGCCCATGGACATCTACAACGTAAATGCGCCACCCACCTTGAGATATAAATTCTAAGATCTCAGTATAGTTACAACGGCTGCCCACCCTTCAAACCGAAACGCATTACTGCTTCAGGGCAGAAATAGACAGGGCGGCGGTACATACCCGCGCGGACTCACAAGAGATCCTACCACCAGTAGTCCGAATATTGTAACTTTTAAATAGAAGAATTACATTTTATCGGTAAGTACAACTTTATAATTTTAGTGCTTTTTTATGTTACGTACATAAGTACTTTATAGTAAATTGCAAGTTATATGATTATGATATCGAATCGTTTTGTTAATATCAACATAAATTGATGCTTATGCAAATTTGATGTGCAATAAATAACATCGCTTTGTGTGTGAATTTGTAGTAACGTAGCGAAATAGCGGCTAGCTTCCGCAGAAAGGAACCAGTCGTATTTTTAGAATTTTTTTTTAAATATAAACAATTTTAATGTCATGTTTGTGAAGTGAAATTAAAAAAAAAATGTATAATGTGCAAATATAAAATGTCACTTTTATAGATGTGGCACTATGCACCGCACCTAGTTACTAATGTGACAAAAATTTCAAAAGACGTTGAAGAGTTTATAGTTTTATAATATTGAAAAAATGAGTTTGAGACACTTGTACCTTCAAGTTCGTCATATTTTTCAGACGGTATACAAACTCAAATGCCCCTCAGCCTTTCTCTGTTCACAAACATGACAACAAAAAATGATGGCCTCATCATAATACTATAGTAACATGGTGCGGGTGGCACCATGGATATTTGGCAAAATCCGTAACTCATACAAATGTTCAAATCTTGCCACCGCATTCTTTATCAAACTCACGACCGTTGCCCAAATACTCTTATTCTTGTGTAACTCGTTAATTATTAAAGTCCTATTTGACATTTCACACACTAAGTTTTAGCATTGAAATTAAAGTGAAATTTATTCATGAATTGATAGCAAATATTTGGGAGAATTGTTTGTTTTGGTACTAAAGTTGTGGGAAATGCAAACTGGTGTTTCACCCTGCGAATGCAGCTCTGTTTTAGTACTAAAGTTGTGGGAACTTCAAACTGGTGTTACACCTTGCGAGTGCTCACTCGATATCAATTCTATTGTTTGTTTAGACTTCCGAATTTGATTTAAATAATTCCTTCAAGTTTCAAAGTAATACGTCCGTAGCTGCGGTCAACAACCTCCCTACCTTTGGTTATGCGGAATCCACCATCGATCTACTTACTAAATATTTACCAAACTAGAGCCTAGTGAGATTTTACGCAAACAACTGTCGTACAAGCTCTTAAATTTTTTCATAAGCGAGTTTTAAGCGCAGAATCAAATACCTAACTATATTGTTAACCGATAAACGTTGCTTCGGTTGTGTTTAGTTAGTATAGTATTAAATTACCCTCTCGGCTTGGAACTTTTCATTTATACACATTATTATAACCTGCATCGGATATATTTAAAAAAAATAAAAATTAGCGTTTTTTAAGTACTCCATTTTTGTAGTTTTAGTTTTAATCATCTGTCCATAGGTTATTTTGTATTTGTTGTAACATTACTCGTGTTAATTTTTTAAATAAATTTTTGTTTATTCATTTAGTGTAGTTTACTTTCCTTATATTTATAGCTTATTTCGGGCATCATAAAGGCTTCTGAATTCATCTTTACAATTTGCTTTTTCTGTAACGTGATATAAGATTAAATCTTAATCGCTCTGAAATCACGCTTTTGCTTCAATAGAAGAATTCATGTGTATTTATATTATAAGAGTTGTTGTAATTTTTTATATTAATCGATAGGGACACGAAAGCACTCACGCACTTAGATCGCCTTAGCGTATTTTGTGATAGTCTTAGCGCAAGTACATACATATTATAAATTATTCGATCTTTTAAAGGTATTTCGTATGTAATTCTATCAGTATGATATCTGTTTAATATTCTAATAATACATCGTACGTCTTCATAATTTTAAAGGTAGAGTAAATACGGATGGATATAGACATGGAAAAGTTTAACCAAAATTCTCTAAATTGGTTAGTGGTATAGTATTTATAATATCAAGTTTATCAAGGTCAGTTTATATTTGTATGAAATTATATCAATTATCGCATAAATCTTAGCCATAAAATATATAACTTTAACTATATTTTGTAACTAATATCTATTTTGTAGTAAGTACTACTTTATTGTAAAAATGGTTTTTCGAATGTACCTATATAATAAAAAGAATGATTCGCAAAAAATTTTATTCAATTAAAAATACGTAGACATTATGTGGAACATTACTTATTTTAAGTTAAGCAAGCTGCTTGAAGGATTCAAAGTTGGAAGCCGAACTGAAACACAAACGGTACGTAAAGTTGCATGATGTTCAGTTTTTTCCTGTAAATGGGCAAACGTGTATGTATGCTAGAGGTTTTTTTTTAATTGCCCTTGTAGGTAGACGAGCACACGGCCCACCTGTTGGCGAGTGGTTACCGTCACCCATGGACTTCAGCAATGCCAGGGGCAGAGCCAAGCCGCTGCCTACCGTTAAAGGCGTTCGTAGATATAGTCACAACTCGAATGGTAACCATCCATTTTGAGACCAGAGATCGAGGTCTTATTTGTATTGTAATCGTTCCCATTTTTCAAATCGCATTTTTCAATTCGCAGCATGAATATGTTGGAGGCGCGTTTGGATCTAAACTCTCGTGCAGGATCTAAATGTGTTCTACCATCAGTAAATGCGATTTGGCCATTATGCCGGTACACCAAGAACGTCGCTACACTTTCTCCGCTGAATTCCTGACTTGCTTTTAACGACATGCACTGGAAGCTAATAGATTCTAAGCTACCACACTGCCCCAGATATGTACAGAACACAACCTTCGCTTTTATGGTCATTTTTGATGATAGTATCATGGGTTATAAAATGAGGAGTTCAGGAAAATTGTGTAGTTATAGATGCATAATTTTTTTTGTTAAAACTGTTAACGCGACGAAGCAACAAATTTAAATGGTAAGGCGCAAGGGTAGGTAAAATTGTCCTACTTGTTTTTTTTTTTTTGCCGCATAGGCAGACGAGCATACGGCCCATCAGATGGTGAGTAGTTACCGTCGCTCATGGACGTCAGCAATGCAAGGGGCAGAGCCAAGCCGCTGCCTACCGCTTAATACTCTCCACAAACCTCGTTTGAAGAAGAACATGTCATAGCACTCGGGAAACACCGTGGAGGGGAGCTCATTCCAAAGCCGGAGGTTCTGCAGCAGTCGTACGTTCCGACTTGAAATTTATTTGAAATTTTGACCTCATATTTGATTTAAAGTCAGAAGTCAGAAGTAAGAAAAAAGGTTTTGTACTCTAATACTAAGAATAATAAATAGATACCTGAGGCGCTGCCTTTGTAAGACATTTAGCCAACAATAGACTTCTGTCACAACCTTCTTCGCCGTCGCCAACATTCTCCTCGTTCACTGAAAGTAGCATTGTACATGACCATTTGTATAAGTGCTGGGATATGTAGTGCTTTCTATTTATTTTAAATGGATAACTTCGATCGTAAACTTGAAGGGGCCGCCGGTGAATCAGAAAAGGAGAACATAGAGAATGAGAGAGAATGGAATTTAATTCATGGGCCAGTTATTTTATATTAATTAGACGTAAAGTGTGAAGTACCGACCAATATATTATTATACCGTCAGTTGTAGTGCTTCTATAACGAAGAACATTTGGAACTAAGAACACTTTAATTTCTCAGTATATGACTGATTCGCCCACATTACCATTGATGAAGATATGATGTTAACAGGTATTTGAGTGCGTAAATATATTTGCTAAAACTGCATTCAACAAAAATATGAATAAAATTTCATACGATTTGCATAAAAATAAATAAGAATGTAATTTCTAGCAAAACCGATTTCAAAGTGAAAAGTCTAATGATATTGGTGCTCATCGTAGATCAATATTAAAGAAGTCTGTTAAAGACTAACCACTTTTACAAGTGTCAAACAGTTTGTTTGCATTTTCCTGTTTCGTCTTGTCATCGGAAAAATCTTTTGTTGATGATGCATAGGCGGCGTTTATATCATACATTCCTTTGCTGTCCAACTGTAAATTTGTGATGATTTTTAAACATTTCACGTTGTAATAAATTTCCACATGCTGATAAAATAAAACATTAAACTATTTGTTGGTTTCGGCATATCTCTGAAAATACTGTTCCGAATTTGATGGGACTTTCAGTGGCAGATAGATTAAGTTATAAAGAGCGACTGATTATTATATACTTATTTAAAAATAATTCCGCTAAAATTCAACAACGATAAGAATTTGTGAAAATTCAAATTTGATTCAATTAGGGAGGTATGATCAAACGTGTAATAGCAAAAAGTGGCTCGCATTAGAAACCTAGTTATTTTGATAAAATTATAAATGTTTTTTCGAAAATGCTCGAAAAGTGAAATTATCTGNATAAAGAGCGACTGATTATTATATACTTATTTAAAAATAATTCCGCTAAAATTCAACAACGATAAGAATTTGTGAAAATTCAAATTTGATTCAATTAGGGAGGTATGATCAAACGTGTAATAGCAAAAAGTGGCTCGCATTAGAAACCTAGTTATTTTGATAAAATTATAAATGTTTTTTCGAAAATGCTCGAAAAGTGAAATTATCTGAATGAGGTAGACAACTAACTAGAGGTAGACATTTAAACTAAAAACAGCACTGTATTTAGGTAATGTAATTATCAGATGCAACTCAATCTCCGCGCCAAAATGAAAAACAGTTGTGCCAATCTAATTAAAACAAAAGAAATAGTAGACATGTGCTTAAAATATAAATAATTCACTTTGTTTATTTCTTTACGTTGCAACATAATAATAATAATAATAACATTATAAGTTTTTTGAAGCACTGATTGCATTTGTAATGATTTTTGACAAAGCTTGAACATACACGCACATTTGTGTCTGTTGACGTCAGACGAAGCGTAATAATCAACTACCTACAAAAACTTACCCAGTTACATTTTCTAAACACACACTTCATTAAACATTTAGCATTTTTGCTATCTGGTAATTCATGTTTGTGTATCATTCTGAGCTCCTCAGTGGTAACAGGATGATCTTTGCTACACTCGACTGCTTGACCTAAGAACCAAGCCTTGATCTCTACGTCCGTCTTAGCCTGTTTTATTTTCAACCATTAGTATTAGTTATTCTTAAAATGTTTCCCTTTTACTTAAGAATAATAATTGTAAGACAGCTATAACTTGAAAAGTCACATTAACGAAACGATCTAACGACATTATTAAATGAAGCAGGTACAGGTACATATTATATCAGTACGATCAAGGAATATTTAGTATTGAAATATGCAAAGCAAGTAACATTCAGTTTGTTATAAATAAAAAAATATAACAGTTTGAAATTGTTGTGAATAACTTTCTTGGATATTCTTGGGTATTTTACAAGAATAAAATTTACTTACGTAAGATCCACTAACGATAAAAAAGCTAAAAAATATCTGCAGCAACATTTTCGCTTCTAATTTCAAAATATATTTACAATTTGAAACACTGGTTAATCATTTTATACTTACGCTGGTCATTGTAGTTTGATTTTATCATTTGAACTCTAAATAATCGAATCGTAAAATTCCAAATACTAATGACCTATTTAAATACCATTATAATGAAATAAAATTTCTGATGTATTTCCATTTAAACGTTTATTATTTTTTTATAGCTCTAGATGATAACACGAGCTCGTGGCTCATCTGGTCTTAAATGGCTACCGTAGTATACTGACGTCACTACTGACGTCATGTGGCGTTGAAGTCACAATGTAATAACCACTGGCTCTTTCGCCGGTACCCCAATCGAAAAGTATGACTGTTTCTCCGTTGAAATAAGCTACCATCACATTCCAGTGGTGGTAGCGGTCAGTGCGCTTTACTAATACGGACTTTATTGTATTACAAGGTGATTCCTTATGCTTTTGCCCTCATTAAATATGCTTTGCTCCCGAGGGATCCATCTATCTAAGTCTATGGCTGTTTATGATATCCACAAAGAAATGCTAGAATATCTTTTTGGCTATTTCTGTTTCACCAACGCGTACCTAAAATACGTAACTTGTCTTTCTGCCGAGAGGGCTTGCAACAAAGTGCTTTCATGGAGCTGAAACTACTTTCTAATTTACTCGTAGTGGGTAAGGTATGCTATGCTGTGCGTAGTGGGTAAGGATGGAGATCAATGTACTGCTTCGAATATTTTGCCTAATAGCTTTCCATTTTATCTAGCTTAAATTAGCAAAAAAAAAAAATTTATTTATCAGCTATTCCTTAATATTTTATGTAATCAAGTAAATTAACATTGATACTATTTTCATACCTACGAGCTATCATTATGTGGCGTTTCGTCTAATTTTAAACACCAATAATAAATTGATATTTCTATTCTAAAATTATAATTAACTGCCGGTAAGATAAAAAAAAATTGGGTTAGGACTTTCTCGGGCTTATGCAATCATTCAATAATGATTTCAATCATCATCACGCCTGTTTGCAAAGCATACATATCTAATGGTAGAAGAGCAAGGTATAATCCAATACCTAGGTGTAGGTTTTGAGTGTGTTCTAAAGATGCTGCCATTTGCATACATTATTAATTACTTTATCCTATTAGGTACCTAAGATTGCCCCCAGAATGAGTAAGTTATAAAAAATGTATGTGTTCTATATAAGTGACTGTACCTGTAATAATTAATAGGTCGGTCCGTTCATATAGAGCGTCATTTGTGTGTGCAGCGACATGTGATATAAAAATTGCAAGATAATGGATTATTATCTTTAAAAAACATGCCATTAAATGTGTGTCCAGACGGAAGTTGGTAGCGACGATGACTGTATTTTTTACTGTAAATTATTATTCAACAGCATTTATGTTAGATGAACGGAGCGACCTTGTATTAGGCATTTGGTGAGATCGAATTTACGTATTCGCGGGGCGCTCGGTTTGGAATACTTTTTATTTTTTTATTGCGTAGATGGCTGGACGAGCTCACAGCCCACCTGGTGTTAAGTGGTTACCGGAACCCATAGACATCTACAGCGTAAATGCGCCACCCACCTTGAGATATAAGTTCTAAGGTCTCAAGTATAGTTCCAACGGCTGCCCCACCCTTCAAGCCGAAACTCATTACTGCTTCACGGCAGAAATAGCCAGGGTGGTGTTAACTACCCGTGCGGACTAACAAGAGGTCCTACCACCAGTAGAAATGATAATGTATTCTAGATAAAATTTATAATGAAAATGTAAAAAATATTTCGTGACCTGAAATTTATTATTATGATGAACTTATTATATATTTTTGATATGGTACTACAAAATACAACAAAATGTTGCGTGCGAGTATTTTCGACAAATGATTAATGCATACATTGGCTAATAGTCACAGTGGAGCTTGACTGGATTGCAATAGTAAAACTAAATGTATTATCGTTGAAGTTGTACAAATATCCATATAAATTCTCAGGTGTAATAAATGCTTTTGGACATTTGATTTTGATACTTAAAACTGCACACTTCCCACATTCCAGTGTCGGATTTAAAATTTTAATTTTTTTTTTTTTTTTTTTTTATTGCCTTTGTAGGCAGACGGGCATACGGCCCACCTGATGGTGAGTGGTTACCGTCGCCCATGGACTTCAGCAATGCCGGGGGCAGAGCCAAGCCGCTGCCTACCGCTTAATACTCTCCATAAGCCTCGTTTGAAGAAGGATTATATAATTATATATAATTTAATCGGTTGTATGTATTTGAGTATTTCAATTGCGTGCTATTGAAATCGAGGGATGAAATGAAATGAAATCTATCAACTGTGCCCATGTAGTGGCTCAGTATGACCGTCCCGACTCAGAAATATTTAGTCTGAAAAGTGGTGGACTTTGTTAAATAGTAATTAAAAAATACGTTTTTAATTATGTAGCTTTCGCGCCATTTCAACAACTGAATTGGACATGAGGAAAATGAAGAATGAAAAATATCAAGCAAATTTTAATCTTTATTACGTTTTTAATGCGAAGAACATATAACATTAATATTCTAAAATTATGGAAAGAAAAATACACTAGGATTATGGTTGTAGATACATTTGGTCACGTGAAATGATGCATCGCAAACGTCTTTGTAGGAATCCGCTGAAAGAATGACATAAATAATAAATGAAACTATCTTATTACAAATCACTTCACACTTCATACCGACAGAAAGTCATTTTACGCCTATGAAAATATACTGCTTGATCGAGATTCGGATAAGCTTAACAAACGTGGAGCACCATCATGATTTAATGTTCGAAAACGAAAAAGGGCATTTTTTTTGACACAGGTGACATGTTTTGTAAATTGATTACAAAACAATATAGCACAATATATTGCTAATCCATATTTCATTAACAGATACCATTATCGCCACATTGATAGGTTGATAGTTCTCCGCATCAGATCGATAGAACGCTATTTGGAGACCATCTATCTAGTCGTAGTTCGGAACAAAATGCTTATTGTGAACCGGGGAAAAGACAGTCTACATTTTCACATCACAACTACTAAAACAAGGACTATATTATCAAATTCCTAAGAATAACACAAACTGCATTATACTTACCGACTTTTCGACATGCTACTATAGCTTCTTTTGTTGGCTCTTTCATTTCGTCTGGCAATAACAGATCGGCTTGTTTCATGGCAGCCTCAAAATTTAATTTTCCATTCTTCATCTGCGAAATAAATTTTCGAATAGCTGTTAGTAGGATTTATAAACGTTTGAATATTGAGATATATAATTATTAATAAATGTTTTTTCTATACACTATTAAATCTATTCTGGATAATGTAAGACAATGTTATGTTAAGTAAATTTTTTACCTGTTGTTTTTTTTAGTTTGTAATATGTATTGTGTGCCTAAATAAATAGAACTCAAAATAACGGGGGGATGGAGGGGGGGGGGAGTATTAGCTGTGTTTTGTACTATTGTAATGTCATGAAATTTGTAATACCATACTATAAACAATGTTTATTTTATACTCTAAATATAAATCTAACTATAAATTGACAAAATAGTCCAGTACCTGTTTCTGTATTTCTCTTATATTTGTCGATGTAAACGTTTATAGTAAACAGTTAGTTTTCCCAGTAAGGTTTTGCACAAGAAAAAAAAAACCTTAATAACAAAGACTTTCGACCACTAGACGCAGCATGTTTTTATAATTTTTGACCATTTTGTGGTCATCGTGTGAGAAATCTGTCGGATGCGATTATTTTACACCCTATAACCTATATAATCATAATTTCTTTAATAAAACTATACCTACCGTATTTGCCATTTTCATTATACAAGCAATGTAGCACTTTACTTCATTTTCTTCTATGAAAACTCCATCATTGATGGGGTTTATCTTTTCTAAAATTTAAAGGTAGTTTAGTATGATGTCATTACATAATTCATCCAGTATTGCAACGGTTTCCGAATAAAAGTTATTAAACTGCTTTAGCCTAGTTTATCGTTTTATTAATAATAATAATTATTATAATAATATTAATTTTAGTGTTTTTTTGGCATTGTAACCTAACCTTAAATTGGGAGCTAACAAATGCCGAATCCAAAAGACTGCTGCCTACGATTATACATATTTGTTCGTAAATTAGCAGTGCTGCATAAAATATACATCTTGTTACATTCTGATGTTTCAGATATTATGCTTCCAGTTGCAACGGTAAATATATTTAAATATTTACATAAATTAATATCGAATTAAATCTTTAAATGCTCTCATTTAAGCGCAATAAAAGTAATTTTAACCTAGTAGTTTGGTAGTTTTTTTTTATTGCTTATATGGGTGGATGAGCTCACAGCCCACCTGGTGTTAAGAGGTTACTGGAGCCCATAGACATCCACAACGTAAATGGGCCACCCACCTTGAGATATAAGTTCTAAGGTCTCAAGTATAGTTACAACGGCTGCCCCACCCTTCAAACCGAAACGCATTACTTACTGCTTCACGGCAGAAATAGGCAGGGTGGTGGTACCCACCCGCGCGGACTCACAAGAGGTCGTACCACCAGTAAAAACCAGCTTTGCATATTTGAAGTTGACAGTCAATGCCCAAGATGAAAAGTGGCGTAAGCTACATCACATTATTTTTTAAAGCTATTATTGGGGAGAACTATGTTACTTTAAGTGGTTACTGGTTAATTGATAGAAATTGTCACATAACAGAAAAGCGTTAAGCCTCTGACGAGAACCAAATAAATCTTTAATTAAACCTTTCAAAAACTAAACTCCGATACATCGTTTATTGTAAACTTACATTTATATATCAATCTTAAAACACAAGAGCGACAAAGATGAAATTTAAAAAACAAATGTAATTCAATACTTTAGAAACTCTCTATCAAATATATCATCAAGTTTAAGAATACAAGTCAAGAGTCGAATGCAAATTACGATCCGCAAGAGTTTACAAGCGAGTAATATTTAGTAATCAAAACGGACATACCGTCACCATGAGAAATAGAAAGAGCGGAGGGGACAGGGTGCTACCACACGGCAGTTTTTCGTTTTAAATTCAAATCAGTTGCCAAATAAAATAGAATACATATATTTGTAAAGCAGAAAAGTATATTATGTAAATATAAATGCATACGAAATCTTACCGTCATCGACATTATTTTTAGGTTGACATGATTTTCTCATCATCTTTCCAGTATTTTTAATCTGTTTCATAGTCATCTGTAATGTTCGAATTATTTATTCTAAAGTCGAATAAAAATACAGTTGATATTCAAAATCAAGAATTAATTTTGTTAATTTGTATATGGAAAATTACAAATATAAAGTTCTAATTTATTTATTAAAATTCATTTATTAAAAAAATATTAGTACGTATGCGCATTGCATTGGGACACGAATTTCCCGTCGAATCTGTCACTGGCGAGGAAGGACTCTGCGATTAAACTAATCCATACACACAGCCCACTGAGTTTCTCGCCGGATCTTCTCAATGGTTCTCATTGTTTGCTTAACATACTGAGACCGTTAACTATGTGCCAAGCACGTGCTTATTGGAACATTTTTTTTAAATGACACCATGCATTATACGCACGAATTAACTGACACACTTAGCTAAAAGTAGAAGTGTCACTTTATCCCCTAAAGAAGGTCATTCGAAAACGATTTGACTTTAGTCTTATAAATAAGATTTTTGTAACCATGACAACAAAAATGATAAAACGAACTAAATGCTTCTTGAATATACGTTTTGCTTATCTAATTTATGGACACAATGCTAATGAAATAGCAAGATAAAAATCATAATGTATCGTTCGGTAGCATTTAAATAAATCTTCCTATATTATACTGGTTAGAAACGCTTCTTGTGGTAATTGTTTTCACAAAATTAAAGTTTTATTGAGACCAGTGAACTCTGGCCACGCTTTGCTTTGTCTATTGCAAACTACACGAAATATAGGTATTGTTTTTATTTTCCACGCACACACACCAATGCCTAAATACTTTATTCTGTTTTGGTACTCATAGTATAAAAAAAACGCGTGTGAAACAAGAGCAGTTCCAATTTGCTAGATACCACAAAAATATCCTTAATAAAGACATTGAATTTGGTCGGCAATGAAACTGATGCTATAATAGTTAGGAAAATCTAACACTTTAGTCCTTCAGTGGGTGGGCCCCTGCTATTTTTAGCCAGGCCTTTGTCATTAGCCACCAAGTCCCACATATCGCGAAACCCCTTGTAGGAGCACGGATCCGAACTGCAGTCACCCGCCGGCGAATCCTCGAAGCCCTGGTGCCCGTGCTGGAGGCATGGTCAGATCGGCGACACGGCGTGATCTCCTTCCACCTCACGCAGGTCCTCTCGGGGCATGACTGCTTCGGGAGGAAGCCTGTGGAAGGTCTGCAGGTGAGAGCCACATCCGGGTGGCCACCGACTGGTGGCATATCCCGGATATCTGAATGATGACGCTCAGCACGCATTCGAAGCGTGTCCGCGTTGGGAGCACTCGCGGCGAGATCTCATCGCGGTGCTGGGGAGGAATCTCTCCTTGCGGGCTGTCATCGCCCGCATGTAATAGAACCAGAATACGTGGAAGGCCATGGCCAGGTTTTGCGAGCCGGTCATGGCGTTCCGTAAGGCTGAGGAAGGAAGTGGGATTCCTCTTCGGCTCCTCAGCGAAGAAGGCGGAGTGGGCGGCACGGGCGGGGGAAGCTCCAGTTCATCTGTTCCTGGGCATTTTGCGGTACCGTGGGCTTGGTAGAGTCGGAGTGGTGAGGCTCGATGGGGTTTAGTCGGTAGTCGGTTTTGCGGGGTAGCTCTTGCATGGCTGACGCCGTGCAGTGCCTCGCGCGCCTTTCTCAAGGCGTAGTCTCCCGGCAGGAATTGGGAGAAGACGAGGACCCCTGTCTTCTTCTTCTCCCTGTTCTTCTCTGGAGGCGCCAGAGTCCGACATAACCCGGTCTTTTACCCCCTCGACCGGGTATCCGTTAACGCATTCCCCAACGTTACAAAAAAGGAAGCATGGCCACCAGCCCGATAAATAAATAAATAAAACGCAACATTAAAACCGCAATGGTAGAAAACAGAAAGGTATTCTCTGAAATTTCAAATTTCATTTGTTTCAACAATATATCTTTACTAGTTAGCGAATATAAATATTTTGCTGTTAAAAAATAAGATTTTCAAATTTGAAATCAATATTAACTCACCGTTTCACACAAAGAGATTAAGATTAAAAACTTTGCAATTACTAACAATATCATTTTTAAATAATCGGAAAGTTATTATATCGAGAGGAATCTTCCATAGTTTTGTGGAAGCCTTGATCTTGACTGAACCATTTATAATCTCTTTAAATGCTTAATTATTAAACTATGCTGTGAAGTGGTTAACACCATTTTAGGCTTGATGTGACAATGATTTTCGACTATGTTAAATTACGTCACAACATGCATAAGTTCAGTCGAATTACCATCTTGTCTACCTGTGTTAAGGTTAAAATATCCGTTAATTTTGGTAATATTTATTAACGAACGAACTAGATTGGGGGAACTAGCTATGGGTGGAGCTAGCTGGGAACCCCGGTTAGAACGGGCTCTCGACCTATTTTTAATGATTTCTGGAGTCCATAGACATTTATACTATGCAGCTTACTTTTACTCGTGGTAGGACCTCTTGTGAGTCCGCACGGATAAGTACCACCGCCCTGCCTATTTCTGCCGTGAAGCAGTAATGCGTTTCGGTTTGAAGGGCGGGGCAGCCGTTATAACTATACTGAGACCTTAGAACTTATATCTCAAGGTGGGTGGCGCATTTACGTTGTAGATGTCTATGGGCTCCGGTAACCACTTAACACCAGGTGGGCTTTGAGCTCGTCCACTTATTAAACAATAAAAAAAACCATACCTATACAATGTGTGTGCTATGACTCATCTTGAGCCGTAAGCGTTCCAATGCGATTGAAAATTGGCTTGCAAGCGGCTACATTCAACTTTCTTCATTTAAGGGCCTTAGTAATCACTTTGCACCAGGAACTGCAAGCTTACCTAATTGGTAAATAATTTGAGAACTTTAAGCTTGAGGGATAGTCGTCGCCGTGAAAAATTGTACTTACACTCACATAGGGCTAATTATCATCTATCGACAGATACTAGACTGAGTTTTCTATTGTACTTATTGAGTGAACAAGCTAATGGGTCTTCAGCTGTTAATTAAATGCCGCAAGACATGACCAAATGAATTCCACCAACTACATTGAAATTGAGGTTGACATTTCAATTATATTGTATACGGATCTGCTGACTTGTTCCCGGTCTAAAATAGGTAGGATGGTATATACCCGTGCGGGCTATTCAGGAATATCACAAACAAGCGCTATGACATGTCTCTCTGCAAAAGAGGCTTGTGAAGAGTAATTAACGTTAGGTAGCGGTTTGTTGGCATTGCTGTAGTCCATGGGCGACGGTAACCATACCCCATCAGGTGGACCGTATGCTCGTCTGCCTACAAGGGCAATAAAAAAGTGCATGAATATTTTTAATAAAGGATGTTATTCTATTGTGAATATTGGTAGGTCGCCGGGGCCAGTGTTTTAAGTCTTCCAATAATATTCGTATTATAAAATTACAGAATATTAAAAAGTATATTAGAACCATACGGATAAAACAATGGTCACCATATTTGATGCCCCTTAATTAACTGATCATTAATTATCAACCTACTAGTTAATTTGTAAAACGCATTTGTCGTCATGTGTCGACTACTAAGTAATGGCAATCAACTAGTGGCATGTAAAAAATTGAGCTAAGATTAACAAAGATATAAATCGAGAAAATTATGTCTTTCAATGTAATTCTATTATTTATTTTCTTAATAAAAGTGTAGGTAATGTACTTTTGCTTGTGACATGTATCCGGTGTCATATAAAAAACTACATGTCTTATTATGTGTTTGGTACGTACTTAACGGACACATTATGTTAAACAGACAATTTATCTGTCAAAAGAATCTACATAATTAATCCAGAGTAACACAAGAAAGAGATGGTTCTATCATAATATAAATGGTGAGTTGGAAAAAAATACATTGTTTCGTGGTCCCCACTAAAAAAAGCATGTCTTCGATCTTAAAATTTAATATTATGTATTTGTTTTTTTTATTTACACTATTGGCTGATACCGGATATGCGGTACATATTTATTTTGCTCTAATCAATCTGAGAGGGTGTTGTATAAATATGTTTATTGTAATTTTTGGTTTTTCTTCAGATGACAAGACAGCAATTGAAAAATTCAGGGAAAATTATGAAGAAAACTTGCATGCCCAAAAATGACGTAACCGAAGGTAAGCTGTATTTAAATAGTACAAATGAAACTGTGTTTCGATTTTTGCAATAAAGATCTAAGCTTATAGAAATATAGATTAAACAAATACACTCTAATATTAAATTACATTGAAAAATTTAAAAGAGTTGATATGTTTTTTGCAAAGAACGATGAATGAAAAGTAATTAAATTAAATGAGAAATATCCATAATATAAAGATAGATCATCTTTACAGAGGAAATCGGACAAATCGAACAAGGGAAGTTTCTGGAACAACGTAACGTGATGTGCTACATCGCATGCATTTACACAGTTACTCAAGTTGTTAGTATTCACTTATTTTATAATAATTTTATTATAACACAAAACGCTCGATATCAAAATGACTTAAACATCAACTCGAAATAAAGAAAGTGAATCTCAATTTTATAAGTATTTTAACATAGCAACATGCGATACGCATCAAGCCCTCCAATCTCATAAATATGGCCATACGGTGTAATCGGACCTCACAAGGCTTGGCATAACAATCCTGCTTATGTCTACTGCCAAGCTTCGCTCGTGGGACCGCCGTGCTACAGCAAAAATAAGACTATTACGTAAATTTCGATCCTTAGTGCATACTGCTGCGAAGTGTTCACATGGTCAGGGTTGAAGGGGCGGTTAGCTTTATAAATTTAATATAATTGAGAATTCATATCTCAAGGTGGTCGGCGGCATTCAAGATGTGATTGATGCTTATGTGCATTACTGACAATTTCAGAAGGTTTCATGTACCTAGTGATAAAAAAACACGAACTAGTATCTGTATTTCTTTAATAATGTTTATAGGTGAAAAACAATAAATTGAGCTATGACGCTGTTATAAAACAAGTAGACGTGATGTTCCCGGCAGAGATGAGACCCGCTGTCAAAGCTGCTGCTGAAAACTGCAAAGATATTTGTAAGTACTAAGAGAACACAGTTTAGTAGAAAAATACATATACATATATTTATCAATACCTAACTATATAAAACTAAACGTCCTTTTCATTAGGCGGATTGAACAGTTAATTCAATCTCCAATCACGGCTAAAACTAAAGTTCGTATTTTTCTTTTGATTCGCTATAATCTTGTAATAGCATTTTGGACCCCCCATTTCTGTGGACTTTTTCTTATATTTTTATGGGGTTTTTTATGGTCAATGTCGCATATGGCCCTCAGCATCGCCAAAGGCATAGCCAAGTCATTGTTTTATCTTATTTTAAACTTCAGACTGGGCAATCAATTGGCTGTCAATTCAACTCTTGGGATCTTTGATGACGTTTACCTGCCCTCTACTTTTTATTTGTAAAACCCGATAATATCGGTTTGGTACATTGGATTGTGAAAAATCCCGGTATAATTTCTCATTTCAAACCTCTAAACTTACGAGTCTACATCAGGTTAGGTCAGGGTGAAGTTTTTTTACCACAAAACGTCTAGCTCTGAATAAACTTTCTTCAATGCTGTTTTTATAACGTGGTTCTTCAACAGGATTGAGGTGAGTCTTCAGAGGTAGGCATCGTTCATGACTGACCGTTAGTGAACATCCACGTCCTTACGGATCCATCAGATCCAATAATCCTTGCATTAAGCGCTTTTAGCTCCGGTAATCGTACTCGTCGAACTCGGCAAAGAGTTCGACGTGCAACCTAACCTAAACATCAGCCCGCTGAGTTTCTCGCCGGATCTTCGATTCGGATCCGGTAATAGATGCATTCGCGAAGTAGCTGTCCTTGAGCTGTTAGGTTTCTTTCGGAGGTGCTCGTGCAGCTGTTAGCAAATCCCACCCCTCCTGGCTCACCGGTGAAACTGGATGATTCGTCAGGCGATCCATCCGTTCCTCTGCCTTCGGAAACTAAAATAAATTGAGTAAACTAGGGCTGAGAATATAACTTATTAAGGCAATCTTTATCGGCAAAAAAATTAATTACTTTTAATAACGAAAGATATATCATTATTATTGTATAATATTACGTTTTTATTTCAGCAAAAACGTTCAAGGACATTTGCGAAGCCTCGTACTGGACTGCTAAATGTATGTATGATTTCGATCCAAAAAACTTCGTGTTTCCATGAATCATACTTGTTTTAATTAGTTGTGTAATCGGTGTGTGAAATATAACATGTTCATGAATTGTAATTATTGTTTTTATTAAGAAAGAATAAAAAATCACACACTGATTTTACATCAGCTACTTTGTTAATTGCTGTTCTTAACACGTCCGTTTCTATATTTAGTGGAAGAATAATTTTGTTATTAAACGAAATATGTATCAATAGACTTTATTGGTTATCGTTATAAATACAATATGTCATTTGTTGGTCTTAACAAACTTCTAAACACGAAATCATTATGAGTCTTGTTCGTAGATTATTTTACACTTTTTGAAGATATATTTCTTTAGGCGTGTTATGAAAAATTTAAGAGAGTGAAATTTTACGATGCGCGCGCACCGTGACACAAAATTAACAGAAATGAAGTTGTCCACTAAGTCGCTCATTACAATACGACCGACGTAACTTGGCGAGTCTGAATATAGCCGCAGGTGAACTTTCCGAACCGTACCGAGAATTACCGAATTTATACGATGTCAAGAAAAGGGATGTCCAATATGCGTGTTTGAGGATGTTGTTTAATCGATTTTTTTTTTCAAATTGATTAAAATTTAAATAAAAAAAAAGAAATAAATTTAATAAAAATAAAGTATAACTTCTTACGCGCGTACATAAGTACACGCACCCTTTTTACGATTTGAGAAGTGCATTACTTGCTACCTTAAGAGAAAAGGACAAACTATCATTTTCCCAACCATATACTATTAAGTAGGTAATATGAGAAAATTTTCTCATAAACCAATACCTTGATCAAATGTAGTCTATTTTATTCTATCAACTATCTTTTTGGTGTTGTAGTATTAATAGCTGCCCTTTTTGTAAATCAACAGTATGATTTTTTCACATTCCGGTTTCGAAGATCAAAAGGGGTAGCTGCTATATATGAGTCGTCTATTATCAAAGGCGGCAATCTGTACATTTGGACAAAATTTTTTTATTGATATGTCAATACAGATTTATTTGAATATAATCGTCTCCTTCAAAGAATACGGTTCAAAACCTGCATTAAATAAAGGTTAATAGTTAACCTGTTATTTATCTAAGATGTCGTTCCGAAGAGTTTTGTGACTGCCAANACCTGTTATTTATCTAAGATGTCGTTCCGAAGAGTTTTGTGACTGCCAATGGAATACAAAGTCAATAATTCGTTTTTCTGATTTACCAATCATTGTCCAAAAGTCAGATTGCCGCCTTTGATAATAGTCGACTCATATATAACATGGACCTCAGACCTCAAGGTAGTGACATTCCGGCATATGACAAGCATACCGAGTTTCTTTCCCATCGGCAATAGATAGATGCTTCTGACTTATTTTAGGCGAAACCTTTGCAAAATTTATTGGACGACTGCATGCCAAATCGATTATGACGGGATTGTGTATAATATTTCACATAGGAGTAACGTTAAAAAAATTTACACAAACCCCAATCATGCCATGTTACTTATAAATAGTATGTAATCAATTCCACAGCAAATAAATTATAGAGTATGACTTACAACCAGTGATTATACTAAATGTTCATAATAGCTTTATTTTGAAACCTTTATTTTCGTAAATTATAGACCTCAAAATTTTCGTCCTACCGTGGGTATAAATTTGAACGATCCACAAAAATATCTCGTCTTCTTTTCGCAGCTACTGCGATCGTTTTTCTTGCGTATTTTTTTGTGTCATTCAATTCATAGAATATACAAAACAAAAATGAGAATTAGTTTTTTGTTTTTGATTAGTGTAACTATTATTACATTTGACAGCGTTTTTGCGGTAAGTTCAATAGTTTGTTTCCGTAACGTTTTTAATATAGTGCTACTTACGGCCTTTTACTTAACTATTATTGTACAGATGACTCGTGCCCAGGTTAAAAAAACAATGACAATCATGAAAAATCAATGTATGCCGAAAAATGGGGTTACCGAAGGTAAATACTCTTTTTTTTTTTATTCTTCTAAAAGTCTACATATTCATATTTAGAAGGCAAAATTAAAAATAGTCTTTATTTTGTTGAATGTTCATATAAATATACACACATACTGACACACACACACACACACACACACACACACACACACGCGCACGCAATTCACAAAATACACACACTTAAAACACAACAACAAAAAATCCGTATACAACATCTCGAAGATAAGCTTTTTTACGTATTACAAACATCAGACAAAAATAAGTAAACCTAGACTTACATAATATTTTAAAAAGACTGACTCCGATTGAGAACCGGGAATCCCGTGGTATTCTGTAGATTTTACTAACTACGCCATTAATTATATAGGTAGTCTTCAATGAAATTCATAAATCACAGCTAACAATAATGAAATTAAAATAATTCTAGTTTGTAATACACCATTCCTGTATTATTATAGATGAAGTTGGGAAAATTGAAGAAGGTATCTTTCTAGAAAATCACAATGTAATGTGTTACATCGCTTGCGTTTATAAAACTATTCAAGTTGTGAGTATATTATGTATATTTACACCAGTTTAACAAAATATTCATAATATGCTTTTCCATCTCTAATGATACGATCCTATTGGTAAATAATTACAATCTTTTTTGGTTTGATATTTTTTCCGTTTTGTTTGTAAGTTTAAATTAATTATCTCAATTTTACATAAGTATATGGATGTATAAAACATTTAGTATTATTAATCACCAAGTTAAAAAAAAAATTAAGCTTCTAATTTGATAATTAATAATTGATTTGGTTAATTTTACATCTTATTCATTTGAAATCGTTGTAAATTGATTTTCTAACAGGTTAAGAATGACAGACTCGATAAAGACCTGATATCGAAACAAATTGATATATTATATCCTCAAGAAATTAGGGAATCTACCAAAAAGGCTGTTGGAGAATGCATTAGTTTGCGTGAGTCACTGCTGAAATCTTTGTCTGATACAAAAACTCATTAGTTTTAATGTAACATAACTGAGTTCACGAATGGTCACAGCAATTTGCTAACCCAGTTAATATTGAATGTATTAACAATTGTTATGGCTAAAAGAATATTCACTCTCTGTATGTAATGGAAATTTTTGATTTTTTTATTGCATAAGTGGGTGAACGAGCTCACCGCCTGTCCAGTTTTAAGTGGTTAATGGAGTCCGTAGACCGTAGACGTAGACGTAACCATTGTTACAAGTGTGTTATTCTTACACCGTGGAAGTCAATAGTGAATATTTGTAAAGTACGTATTTCATTTTAAAAAGGGTACCTTTCTGTGGGATTCGAACACTGGCACAGTTGCATCGCTCGATATGAATGCACTGGACATCTTATCTCGTAGGCCACGACGACTTTTGGTTTAAATAACCCAAAGGATTTAAATTTGTCATAAGCATCATAAGCGAATCTGTAGGATTTTTTTCGAAGATTCTATCTTCATAACAGTTTCAAGATGGTACTTTGTTATTTAAGACATAATAATATAGCATTTTCTAGTGTTTTTCTTTATAAATTTCAGAGGAAAAATACGACGATTGGTGTGAAGGTATATTTCGCTCGACCAAGTGTTTGTATGAAAAAGATCCAGCAAACTTTATTTTTCCTTAGCGCTTATTAATAATATAATTAAGTAGTTAGTAAACAGTTGATTATAAAATTAATTGAAAAGAGTTTCATGGAATACGTGTGAGAAATAAACTATGTACTAACTATTAACTAATATTTTGAAATTTTATGTCTCGCCGTGCTAACTGTGGCATGCTAAACTTGACTTTCATTAGTCTACTGCGTTCTTCCTATATCCCATACATTATTTATATTCCATGATATTAATAATTTTTCGAAATTCGTATGTAATAAAAAAAAAGCTTAGAGAATTATTATTGAAAATCTTAATACAATTAACAAATCCCCATCGACTCTGTATGACCGATATATCGGAAAACGTAGCTGTGATATATCTTACCTTCTTAATGCAACCTGTATGAATATCGCCGCTGACCTTGAGACAACAGATGCAATACATATGCATACCTACGTTTGACCATCTGTGCTTGTAAATTTAAAAAAAGAAATTGCATTAGACAACATAATATTGTTTGTTGTAATTACGCAAACATTAACATATAAAGTGTTATTAAACATAATATAAAGTGTGTTAAATTAACATAAAAATTGTCACTCAAACGATAGTGTAACCACAAATATCTCAGATATCTTGTCTTCATTGCTATAATTCACAATTACTAGATATTTTGACCAATTTTTTTTTATTGCATAGATGGCTGGACGCGCTCACAGCCGACCTGGTGTTAAGTGGTTACTGGAGCCCATAGCCATCTACAACGTAAATGCCACACCTACATTGAGATATAAGTGCTAAGGTCTCCGTATAGTTACAACGGCTGCTCCGCCCTTCTAACCGAAACGCATTACTGCTTCACGGCAGAAATAGGCAGGGTGGTGATACCTACCCGTGCGGACTCACAAGAGGTCCTATCACCAAAATTCATTTAAAAGCGACATGATATTTATAAGTTGAGAGGCGCGTTTTCCTCAAATTACTAACTTGAATGAAAAGTTTTTTCATTTCGATAGCCCATACCCATACCAGATACGATTTTATTTCATTCCTCTCTTAACTGAAATTAAGTAAAATTCTATGTAAGAATCGTATCTTTTTAACAGTCTATAGACGGATAATACTGCGCACTTCACTGCTTGTAGCAATTAATGAGTAAGATAACACAAGTCATGTCAAGTGAAACAAACAAACCGTCAAATAAAATATGTAATTCCATTGGTGTTTTTATCCACATCCTATTATTAACATTTTAAAGGTGACAAAATAATTAAGAGGTACAGATTTAATAACCGTTCATATATTTGTATAAAAACAGGCAGAAGTACTTTCGCAGATTTATCATTCTGTCTTGTATTTGTGAAGTTCACGACTGATGCATAAAGATGTTTTTGAAAAACATTTTCATTGAATGTGTATTGTTGTATTTCGTAATGTTAAATACGTCGTTTGTGAACAGTGTAAGTACTAAGTTAATTTATTTTTATAAATCTCTATCGATTATTGCTAAATACATTATAATTTGGATACATATCGACGCTTGAAAGGCAAACGTGACTAAGCGACAATAACTGCTTTGTACATAAATGATAGGCAATAACCATATTCGATGCGCAAAAAATATATATTTCTAGGTCTATTAAAATCATTTCAATCCTACAGCTGGATTCGTTAAAATAGATTTTTTTTTCGGGTATTTCAACTTTAAATAATTAGTCTACTGTAAAGTTCACGCATTGTCGCTTAGTCATGTTTGCTTTCAAGCGTCGATATGTACTATACTTTGTTGAAATTACACGCACGCTACCATGGCAACATTGATTCAACAGTGACTTAAATCTTCCTTGAAGGATCAACAACAATGATATTAAATTCCATCGAAAACGGATAAATACAAAGGCAGAGAAGACAAACGTGAATAAAACAAGACGCAATCTCCTTTATTCTTTGTTTGTTTAAATTAGATGTTTCTTTAAATTTCGTCAAGCTAGTTTCCTTGTCTGCGTCTGCACGGATACTAATGCTCAATATAATGTTCCTAGATGACGAAACAGCAAATAAAAAACTCTGGTAAAATATTGAAGAAGGCTTGCATGTCGAAAAACGATGTTACTGAAGGTCAGTAAGTAAATAATTCGTTGTTTGTTCAGATCTTGTTTGATAGCCTTGCCGATATACTTTTAGAATAAATTATATTTGTTATTATAAATTAATTCATTTATTATATTGGCTGAGCAACCGATTTAAGTTAAAAAAAAATTTGGAATTTCTTTACCTGCTTGAGGATTTCGGATATCTACTTTAATCTTTCCGGCTATTAATCAGAAGTCCGAACGCACAGAATCCGTGCCACCACGAGCTACTGCTATTTCTCTATTTCACCGCTATATTTATAGTATGAAGTAGTGTAGTAAATCTTTTAGTTTTTTGAAATTACGTATATACGGCTACGTATTGGAGCACAACTTCCTGCGTAAAGCCGGGGTGTGTGTATTCGTCCGGGCTGATGTCTGCTGTCGCCGTCTACGAAGCCTCGAACAACGGGACCTGTCCCTCTTGTGGCTGCGCGTAGATCACGGGGGCTGTACCCGAGTCTACGCGTGCCTGTACAGGTCCCACAGCAGTGATGCAGGTTCAGCTCTGATAGAGCATGTGCAAGAGGGGACTAACCGCGTGCTTGAGCAGTACCCATCTGCGGAGGTGGTGGTTCTTGGAGACTTTAACGCTCATCACCAAGAGTGGTTGGGGTCCAGAACCACTGACCTCCCGGGTCGGGCTGCCTACGATTTCGCCTTGGCCTACGGCCTCTCCCAGCTGGTGACACAGCCCACCCGTGTCCCAGATATTGAGGGGCACGAGCCTTCTCTGTTGGACCTTCTGCTGACCACCGATCCAGCCGGATACAGTGTGGTGGTCGACGCTCCACTTGGATCGTCTGATCACTGCCTTATCCGTGCTGCCACACCACTCTCTCGTCCTAGTCGTCGAACGACGACCAGGTATCGAAGAGTTTGGCAGTATTTGTCAGCAGATTGGGATGGATTGCGTGAGTTTTACGCATCCTACCCATGGGGGCGGTTCTGCTTTTCCTCTGCTGATCCTGACGTCTGTGCGGACCGTCTTAAAGACGTGGTGCTCCAGGGGATGGAATTGTTTATTCCCTCCTCTGAAGTGCCCGTTGGGGGT